GTTCCAGATTGGGCTCTGCGTCGCCGTTCGCACCAGCATTGCGCCAGCGCGCATTATTGCGTTCAGCTGCACTCGCGGGAGGACACCGGGAGGGGCTTGGAAGGCAGCATGAGGCATCAAAGCTGTAGGTGAGCTCGCAGACAGCCAGTGACGAGGCCCAAGCCACTCGCATATCTGACAGTGCAGACGCGAGGTGGGACGCGCGCGTGCGGCCTGCAGCGTCGAAGGCGACGGCAATGGCGATCCCACAAGCGGTGACCGCTCGGCACCAGGCAGCCAGCGAGATTGCCATGGATTGGAACCGCTGGAATCCATGGCGATGTGGGGGCTGCTCTGTAGCTGAGCAGTAGTGCGCAGAGGTGAATGTTTACCCCTGCCTGGTGCGGCACGGGGGTTCCCGCGATCGCGACGGCTGTCGCACGAACATGAGCACGCATCGCTCCGTGCACCTGCGCTGTGCTCCCGGTCGGTGTGCATATCTCCGTATCGGGTCTGCGACGTGGCCCTCCCTCCATCACACGTCACCCGCATTCGAAGGTTCAGGGGGACACTCACCGACAGGGTTCAGGGAGGAATGATCGCCGATTTTTGCTTCGGCGCACACGGCAGAGGCGATTGCGACCAGCAGCAGCGACGCCACAACGAGCTTTGCGCCGTCCATGGTTGCGACAGGGTGGGCGCAAATGGTGGCGGCAGGAAGGGCAGGCGCCTCCGTGGGGACGGGAGTCAGCATATGTATGGCGACTGCGGCAATACGTGATGCTCCCGTTGCAGAACCAACCGCTTGCTGTGGGCAACTGTAGCTGTCGCATCCTTCTGTGACAGATTTGGGTTGCAGCTCACCTGTGCATTCCGTCATCGTTACCTACTTGCGTCGTCAGTGGGGAGGAACTTCAGCATTGCGATGCCATGATGTGTCACATCAAATAAGTTGGCGATTCTGATACAATGCGGGATGGAAAGCGATTTCTCCAGCAACCACACCCTCCGTTGGTTTCCCCAGGCGAACCTCTGAGCAGCACCATCAGAAGGTCAGAGCCACTTGCTTTACCTGATTGACGTTATCTGGTGTTCGGGTCGCCAATCTTTGACAAAATGAAAAAACGTTAAGATAGCTTAGTATACACCTCGAAGAGCTGGCGCCCCGTAAGTCCCAGAACTCCGTGGACAAGGGAGCACACCACAGAATCTGGTATTGACTACATCTGGAGAGGTCACATCGCCCATCGCATCAGTGACATCGACTGCCCAAGGCCACGGGATGCAATATTGCCAGAGACATTCAGTCTTCGCCCGATACGCATGCGGTACACCGCCCGATTCTGACAGAGTGGCGTCACTGAGCCAGTCTGACGATCGAAAATACGCCCCAACTACGATTGATCCCCGCGCCGGCCAGATGGCCCTCGACGACACGCCGGGGAGCTTCACATCACGGTGGGCACCGGTTCCGAGCATGCAGGGTCGTCGGCTAGGCCTTCCTGCTCCGGTCGCGTGCGGCTTTCCCGACCGATTGTGTCGGACTGACCAAACGGCCACGATGCCGACCCTGGGCGGCAGGTCGGACAAGGTCGCGGAAGCGATCTGGGGGATCGGCGCGTTCAGATCCCAGGCGAGAACGTGGGGAGGGACGAGGCGCACCATACAGTGGAACGACCGGCTCGGAGAGCGGTCGGCATGGCTTGCGCGATGCCACGGGCACCGGCGGTGGGGATGCGGGAGGACCAGTGACGCGGCGGCTTCGGGACGGGCGGGTGATGGGGCGATGTCAAATCGCCGGGGCGCTGGGGCCTGCGGGGGCCCCGAGGGCCTGGCGTACGGGGGCGATAGGATGATGATGCGTGGGGGAGGTTGCGAGGGACCTCCGAAGCTTGTGCAATTGCTGTGCACAGTCCCAAGAGCCTAACTCCCCCAAAACTCATCGGTTTTGGGTGGTAAAGGCATGTAACTGCTCAGGAGAGCATAAGGAATTGAATGGAATGCTTTTTCCATTCTTTCTGTCATCAATAGATGAAAAAATGTGATACAAAGAGGGAAAGGAAGTGGACTTTAAGGATCTGGGGGTTTTGGGCAATGACAAAATGTCCTTGAGATATAGGACATTGTTGGGACTGCTGGAAGCAATGAGACCAAAAGGAAAAGGCTAAGAGGAGTGTCCGAGGGGTGAAGGGAGGCAGTGCATTTGCCTCTATCTATCATAAAGGTTATAGTAGGTGATTTTTCACATCAGAGGCGTTATAAGTGGGTACAGTCACATGAAATACGGGACGTACAAAGTCAACCTTGCACAGGGAAGACGTTTGTTGACCGGTGCAAACGTCCAACCTGAGTCGAAGGGCAATATGCCGGCCGAGGAGGACCCCGTCCAGGCAGAACGTGAACGTATCCGTATCCGACGAAGGGCGTTGGGCCTTCCCTCGCAGCTGGAGGTCGAAGAGAAGGTTGCTCAACTTGAGAACCTCAAGACACGGCGCAAACACCTCCTTGGTGGCGAGGAATACATTTATGACCCACAAGGCAGGAGGATATACGACCCAGTTTGGGTCGATGCATTCCACCTACGAAATGCGCTGGTGGATGAGTGGGAGAGGGCGTTGGCACGTGCCGAATCCATACAGAGGGCGGCGACCGTGCTGAAGGAAAACCTCATGGACAAAGTTGATGTTCCTGAAGGAGTTTCAAGGGAAGACTTCGCGGAAGAGGCTGAGCAAACGCGCAGAATAGCTGTGGAAACTCTCGAGGGGGTGACCAACAACTTCGAAGTTGGACTGAGAAACCTTGAGCATCGGGCAGCAACCGAAAATCAGTCGGTGCTGCAGAGAGCGCACAAGTTGGTGCGCCAGAAAAAGAGGGACCTTGAAGACAAGGTGGCAGTCGACCACTTCAAAATGCGTCGCTGTTCGACGGTTAGGGAGACAGAAGCTGAATGCGCTCAACTTCAGGATGTGTGTGAGATGGTCGACCTTTTGGAGGAGGTGCGCAGTGATGTTGAAGTCAAGGAAGACTTTGAGGAGCTTCGGGAAGCAAGGCGAATGCATGAGAAGCGCGCTAAGGAGGTTGACCTTTGGATCAACAAAGAAAAAGCATGCATTATGGCAAGGGACTGGCTGGCCGGTGGGGAAGAGCCAGACGTTGACGACGCCAGACCCCCGCTCGCGGACTAGGGTAACGGGGCTGGCCAAGCAACGGTGCCCATGGGTCAGGGGGCGTGTTGTCGGGCTTCAGGGGCTGAGTAAGCCTTCTGACGGGCTGAGCTGGACGTGAACGGGTGCTGGCGTGTACAAGTTTGGCGTCAGAGAGTCTCAAGTAATGCTGACTGGGATTGGACGTGTTTGAGTGTCGTATAACATACTGAAGTGACTCCCACTGCATATGACAATGGTTGGTGTGAAGCAATATGATGGGCAGAGGGAAGTTCTGGGCGAAGTACAGCTCTGTCGATGAACAATACTAGAAAACGGGGGTGCTGTGCACTTTTGCAGTAATACTAATCAAGTTGAGGCCGTCGGTGAAAGGACATGACGGTTTAGCAAGGGGTTATGTGAGGGATAGGTGAAGGGGATGTCAAGGGCCGTCAGTGCCCTTTCGAAAGGGTTGTGAATTACAGTGGCATGAGGTGAGTGTTTGAAAGGGCGGATGTGCTGACGGTGAGGGGACATTGTAGATGACCATGCACTGATGTAAGGCTGATTCAGCCTGAAGTGGGAAAGAAAAAGGGGTTAACGTACTAGAATGAAATGTTGTATTGCTTGATACGATAGGGTATGAGAATGGTGGCCGTGCTGTGTGGTGGCCGGCCAGAACGCTGTTGCTATGGACCAAGGCAACCGCAGGCGAACGTTGTGCCTGGGCTGCGGTCTGTAAGAAGTGGTTTTCTGTGAGTTTCTGGCCTCGTCTCCAAAGATAGCACAGGCTCGCTGCCTTGCTATCGTCGACTTTGAGTCGACAGATACACTCAGATCGCATGGCGATCTGCAGTGCCATGTTCGAAAGGGCAAAGGATGTCGTATCCAGCCCTGACGTGCACCCTGAGCTCGCAGCCTGTCAGGGTTTCTGTGGGAACGATGTGTCCGTTTCTGGACCGTCCTCAGCTGTGCCAGCCACCGGAGGAGCAAACAGGAGTTCGACAACGTCCGTCAGACGACCTCGAGATGCTGCCATGTGCGTCGGTTTTCGTTATCACTGGTGAGTTTCTCATCCTTGTGGGAGCAAGCGGCCTGCCACAGACTGTCCGCCCACAAAATTGCGGCGCCCAGCAGAATTGGGCCAAGCACCTTAATTTGAGAACAAGGGTGTCCGACAATTGTTAAGCAAGCACCGCAGTGCTGCCCTCCGGGATCATGACCCGCGGCAGCGCCAACGGCTGGCCTGGCGGGGTTGGGCCCCATCATGATGTGGCGCCCTTACGTAGAGCGATCGCCCTCATGGGGATACGGGGGAAGGAGAGTCGACCTTTGAGTCCGTAACGAGGAATGCTCGTTACACAGCAGCACCACATATACGCTCTACGACATATTGCTATTCCTGTCTGGTTTGAATCCAGCACGGTGTGTCCAATTCCCATTGCCCTCGCCAGGAACTCCTTTCCCCGAAATCACCCCATCAAAGCCGTGAACAAGCTTCGCATCTCGGCACCAACACAATCTGCGCGGCATAATTTTGGAGAAGCAACCCACACGCCCCTACCACATCTGCAACCTCAAGTCGGAATCTGCTTGGTAACTGGTGCACGAGTTCGTCGCCGGAAAGAACACAGCGACGGGGTGCTTACGTAGTCGGTGTTCGACGCATTTGATCAGCCCAGCGGTGTGAGCAGCGTGCAAATCGCCCCTGCTCTCGCTTCGATGCTCCTCTGCCGGAGGCCGCACTCGCGCAACGCAATAGCGCCGTGCCCTCCCACGCTTGACAGGCCCGCAGCACAAAACCCGCCGGCCCTTCTCAAACTCGGGGAGCGGCTCAGGGAAGGGCCACTCGCAGGGAAGCGCCATTTGAGGCTTGTCATGGCATCCGCGGGGGAGGCCAAGGTGTGTCACCCTCTTGGGGATCTGAAGGTGGGCGACCGGGGCACGTGGACCAGGGAGGCGCTGCCCAAGTACACCGAGATGTACGCGGAGGTCACGGGGGATCGGAACCCCCTGCACTTCGACGAGGAATTCGCCAGCAGGACGAAATTCGGGTCGCTGGTGTGCCACGGCGGCATCGCCGCCGGCACGCTGAACGCCCTGGTTGCCGAGGTGCTGCCGGGACCCGGGTCCGTCTTCTTGCGACAGGTGGGGGGCGATGGCTGGGTTTGGCTTCCGAAAAAATGCAGAAAGATGCGTCGTGCGCTGATCGCATCCGAAGCAGGGTGCGCAACAACCGGTGGAGTTGATCAATAGGCGCCTGCTCTTGTGCATTCCTTCAGATTCCCTTGATGATTGGCAGGACTGCACAACGTTCCATTCATTTCCACTCAGGTGCCAATGCGATTTGCGTCCGACCTGTTTGCAGGATGGCGGTCGTCACCGGCCAGTCTAGTACTTCCGGGATTGAGTCCATGCTGACGGTCACAACTGTGCCTAACAAGGCACGACTGTCTTTGGTACGCGTGTCAGCTCCAATTCACTCCAAGGTGCTCTGCTCTGAATCTTACCTTGAAAACTTTATGCCTCTCCCATTGCTTCTGCGATCGCAGGAGCTGGACTACACTGCGCCAACCCATCCAGGGGACACACTGACAGCTGTGGGGGTTGTCACTTCCATCCATGAAACCAAACCGGTGGTGAACATGGATGTAGAGGTGAAGAGTCAAGAGGACACAACTGTTTTGAAGGGAAAGGTGGTGGTATACAAGATGATCCCAAAGGACACGACGGCTTCATGACTGGCACCCCATTCGGTGCTGTTTCCATGCTCTCGCGTTCCCAATGCCCCGTGTCTTGGAGTACATGGCTGGGAGGAACAGCGCTACTGTCAATAAAGCAAGCGAGAATTGGCTCACAGCAGTTTTGTGCCTCCCAACAACCCAGAGATGTGCCGCTGTGCTCTGGTTAAACTGTGTGTGCTCTTTGACTTTGCGGCGTTCTTTGTGCCAAGCATTGTGAGATGCTCATAGACAGGTGGAAAAACTGATACTGTTTGATGATCTAAGCTCAGCAGCCACATGTCATAACCAATGTATCGTCTTCACATTGCTGTAAAAGATGCATTCTTTCTTTGATTCACTTTCGAGCGTGCTTCCACTCAGAATGCATTTCGATTCCAGGGTGACAACAAGATCGGTGTCCTTTTCAAGCTACATCAGGCTGCTTTCTGCTCCAGGTGAGGAAATGGATATATTCCAGCTCTCTGCAAGCGGGCTGTCCCACAGGCAGCAATAAGGTACTTGGCTTAACACCTCTCCATATGTTTTACACCGATTGTTATATGTACCATTTCATCAACGCCATTTGAGTTGACAAATCTGGATACTGCCCATGAGCCTTCACATCCAAGCTGCCCAGGCCTGGTGCCCCGTGGCCTCACAATGAGGAGGAACCCACAGGTGCACATTCAATCTTCTGATTGAACGAGGCACTGGGTCCCAATTGCCATCGCAAGGAACCTGGTTTGCGTTCTGAAGGCAGATTCAAGCCTTTGCACCACTGCCTTGGGAACCAGCCGTCAATTGGGCTTGAAGGAACCACAGGATCATGATCGTGTTTGCAGCATTCGATGTCACCACATGCCGCTCTGTGATGGCGTTGAAATTGAATGTGCCAACTGCAACATGGAGCGTACCAACGGCCCACAACACCGCTATACCAACATGATAGTGGTTCACCCCTGCACTGCACCATGGTACAGCATGGAAAGGCATAGCTCGTGTGGCAAACACAGAGTTTGCCAAGAATGGACCCCAGTGTGTGAGTTCGGCTGTCCCAACCCAACAAACTCTTGCAATCAGGAAGAGAGAAACCACAACTGATCCAAAGTTTATGTTCCACCTCCACAAACGTTGGCAATGACAGTGATCGCAGCTCTTGGATATGACACATCTGTTAGCTGTCCCTTCCACCTGCTGTCGTCACCCAACATATGCATAGTACCACGACTCGTACTTGGCAAAAATATACATGCAATTCTTCACTGCAGAGTCCAGTTGGTACATAACAGGCAATATGCCTGATGGGGCATCCACATCGAACCTCTAGCCAACCTAAAAGAATTTATCAAACAGCTGAGAAAAAAAGCATGCTGAAAGGAAGCGTGACCCCCCGGTACGAAAGCAGCCACCATCTTATTGCCCCTTGGTTGCTTATTCCATTTGCAATACCCACTTGGGCCCCAATTGGGAGAAAAGACGTGGTTTGTTCTCTGGTAGAGACACCAAGCCCAGTGCAAGTCTTGAGCAACCTGGCCCGTGCCGATCGTGGCACCCTGATAAGAGGTGATTCAATTTATGCACAGAGCCCCAGAACACAACTGACAAACCCAGTGCTCTGTGTTACTGCAGCAGACCAGACTGCTGCAGCCCCCTCTCTTTGTGACCTACTCTGACACCTGAAGTGTCACCAAGCAAGTTCTACACAGCAAAATCCCACCAGTCCTTGGGTTCATAATTCAGAGGGTGGCAGATGTTGCACACCCGCTCTGGTTTGAAGTATGCAAGAGCTGGCAAGGGCTTGCGGTGCCTGGAGCAGTCGTGGCAGAATATCAGGCCGCAGGCTCGGCAGTGGTGACGGCGTGAGAACACCCCGAACTTGCTCCTGCACTTCATGCACTCCGTGGTGGACGTGTCTGGCATCCATGGTGGTCGCCTCTGCATTCGGTCCTCCATCTCCTTGTTCCACACCAGCTTAAGCTGTTGCAGGATTTGCTGGGCGTACCTGCAAGGTTCAATAATTAGTGTTTTAGAAGACAACGAACAACCAACCACCACCACCACACACATCGTCGGCCATCATCGCCTCCGAGGATACAACTGCCTTACAACACGAGGCCCTGTCATATGTTTATGGGAAACACAACAAACAGAATTCACATAGAAACACAAGGTGCATAGTTCTTTCTGCACAGCACCCCACCAGAAAGGGAACCCAAAAGCAGCATTGCCATGTGAGAGTTGGCAACGACACAATAACACAATTTCCATACACATGCTGTGGACAACACCACACCTGAAGTCTTTTTGTGCTGCATGAAACCGGCCTGGCGCTCCTGCCAGCAAGTGCTTGAGCTCCAGGGCTTGCAACTTGAGTTCGTCTTGGCTGTGCAGCCGCTCGTAGTCATGCTTCGCACAAAGGGCATCATGTACTGCAACGTGCACTGCTTGTGACCTCTCAAACACCTCTGCCCTCAACTCCCCTTCCCTCAACAGTGCTGCTGCCAAATTCCCTTCCGTGGCAAGCTGGCCACCAGGCAGGGGTTCCTGCCATTGTGTGAATCTAGCCCCTAGGAGCTTGTCCAGGGACTCCAAGTGGCACCTGTTAGCACCAGGAGCAGTGTTTGTTGGTGAGTCTGCAAAAGCAACCTGCCCTACCCAGTTGATTGCACAAGAACTGACACCATCGCACAAATACCATAATGTGCAAGATTTCATCTTAGCTCCATCACTGCAAGAAAGAGATGAGCCCCATTGTGGGAGAACTTAGGGCCAGCACAACAAGGTGAGACAAAAAATAATTCTGCTTTGAAGCAGATTGTGGGAGAACTTAGGGTCAGCACAACATGGTGAGACAGAAAATAATTATACTTTGAAGCAGACAGAACTCGTGTCCTGCTTACCGGTATGAACGAATTATTTGAATCCCTTGCCTCCAACAGTGTTTAAGACTTTGCAGACAGCAATCAACACCACAGGAGCGTTTCCAACGCACCTCAGCGCCTGCAGCAATCCTGACTGCTCGTCCAACAGCAAATCGCCCTTATCCTCCGGCGCTTCCAGGATGCGCCCAAGCTCCCGTTTCGATTCGACTATCTGCTTCAGAAGATAGCCTCTCTGCAAGTTCTGTCGAACTTCCCATGCCGCTTTGATTTCATGGAAGGCGCTCCTCAGCTGCAACAGGTGGGACTGCACCACGGCGCCCATCGACGACGATGGGCAGTGCATATGCAAATGTGCCAATTGTCGTATGGACCTGTGCATCTCCTCGGGATCTCGAGAAAGGAGGGCAGCCTTGGCTCCGCTCAGGGCTCGATCCCATTCGCTTTCCTCCACTCCGCCTGCGCACCCGCGCAGCCGACTCAGCAAGCAGCAACGCCTTGGGGCACCTAGAATCAGCATTGCTTGCGAAAACCCGGGAATAAGAACAACTCTGGCGCACTCCCGAGCCGGGTATCGACCAACAACGCCAAATACAACGAAAACATCCGACAGTCAGTTTTCCACTGCGCAGGCACTCGTCGCTGGGCCTCCCCCCACTCACCATCGGTAGCGCTGCTCTGGCAACCTTCACCCGCCCCATCTTCACCAACCGGCGACTTGGCCAAGCGCGACTCGCCCTCACCATCCCCCACGCAGCCCCGGCCGCCGCAAGCTGCGCAGGGCTCCAACCCGTCCTCCCCGCTTCCGCTGATCAACCCCCTCCCGTTGCATGCCCGACATGACGCCACCACCCCGCGAAAGTAGCCCCTTCCGTGACACCAGGGGCATTTGGGGTTGCTGGCGTCCCCGCATCGTGGGCAGCGCTTCAGGTCGGCGACCACCGTCAGCGGCAGGAAGCACTCTCCGTCGCAGACCGAGCAAAACGATGCGGATGTGGGACTGGCGCCGGCCACAGGGCTGCCGCAAGCGTCCAGTCCGCCCAGTCCAAGGCACCTAGGGCACTGGTCCATGCCGCGAGGCGGGTCGCCGTTGCGACATCATACAGCGGCCCTCTGTGGCGCTGTTCCAGCGACGCTGCGCGGAGGCTTGGGACTCGAGGGAGCAAGGCAGAGGGGTTCGCCAAACATATCAAGCTCGCGAAGGTCGTCATGCTTGGTCATCAACGGCACGAGGAAACGAATTTCATTGGGGCGGCGCTCTGAACTCTGAACTCTCAATGAACAATTCAAGTACCGCATTTCCGTGGCAATACAGGGAGCCGGCAGGTGACAGCCGCCCTCTAGCCTTGACCTGTAATGCCGGTTGATTGAAGCGAGGGCCACTGAAATTTTCGGTGGAAAACCTATTTGTTGCCTGAGTGATTCGCAGCAGCTGCTGCTTTCAGCAAAAATGTTCGCGTGCAGCACAGGGGCGTGCTTCAGGTGCGTGGGGTCGTACCCCGCCCTCGCAGCCAGCACTCATTTCCAACCGTTGGCATCGGGGACTGGCAAAACTTGGCAGGGTGTTGTCTCCGCCAAACGTTCGAAAAGAGGCAACGACGCGGTCGGGCAGCTCTTTTGGGGTCGAGCAGGCAGTGCGCCACTCACTTCATCATTGCACCGCCATTTCATGGCATCCTGCTCAGCTCCATGCGATTAGTCCCACTCGAGCACAGGGCCCAACGTGTATGCGCGAAGACAATAGACCACAAGCTTTTACAGGACCACCTCGCTGTCTGCGTACAACCTACGTGCTGCACGAAAGGGCACGCCCCTTCTCTTCCCACTACCCTAACAACGCGCGGCACCTCAGCGGCGCCGCCGGTGGCCTGACGCGCTCCGCCTGCCCTTCTGGCTCCTCGCGCTCCGCGACCGGCTGCGCCGCCTCTGGCCGCTGGTCGCGCGCGTGCGGCCCCTACGCGGGCTGCGCGACCGGCCCGCCGAGCCCGACCGTGGGCTGGATCCCCCGCTCTGCTTCCTGCGGTCCCGCCCCCTGGCATCCCCCCTGTCGCGGCCGCCCTTCTCCCTCTCCCTGCCCGGCCCCTTCTCCCTCCTCTCCCCCTCCTTCCCCCGCGACTTGTGCCGCGACCGATCTTTCTCCCTCTCCCTCTCCCTGTCCCTGCCCCTGTCGCGCCCCCGATCCCGCTCCTTTTCGCCGCTCCTTTCAGTTTCCTTAGGCCCGTCGGGGCGCTCGGAGGCGGCCAGCAGCGTCGCCCGGTGGCCCGCCACCCTGGCCTCTACCTCATCCTTGTCCAGGCCCTGGTCCTCCAGGTCCTCCCGAAAGACCATCACGTCCATCTCCACCTTGCGCATGCGCTGCCGGTGGCGCAGCTCCTCCTCGTCCATCCTGGCCGCCCCGCCCGCGCCCTCCTCGCGGTGCTCCGGGCCCGGGGGCCTCTCCTCGCCGACCGGCGTTCGCACGCCCGACTGAATGACGGGCGTGCTGCCCGCGTCGCTGAAGATCTTCTCCGAGCTGCCGCTGATCTGCTCACAGCATGCGCCCGTCGGCAATATCAACAAACATGGCGGGCGAATGTACAGGGTCGAAAGGGGGTGGGACGCGCGCTGGGCCTCCGCTGGCGAGAAACAATGCAGCAAACTGATCAAGGAAAGCGACAAAAGAGACGCAATCGCACAATTGATCGACGCGCTGAGCGGCAGGTGGGTGGGGTCGCGCAGGAGGCGGGCGGCGGCTTTCGATCCCACTTGGACTGCGTCCCGACCACCTGCCGCAAGCCCGGCTCGCGGGGCCCAGGCAAAACGCGCTTCGCCACGCAGGGATGCCCACCTGCTGCGCGTCGCCCCCCCGGGCGTCGTCCTGCTCCTCCAGCAGCCACTTGGAGATGGGCCCCTCGGGCTGGGCGCGGCGCTCCTGCTGCTCGTCGACCGCCGTCCACGCGGACGCCCTCCGGTCGACATCGGCCCCCCGTGGCCCCTCCGGTCCCCCGGGCCCGACCACTCCGTTGCCGAATCCTCGCGTGGGCGACCCCGGGTCAGCCCCCTGGCCAGCCCCCTGGCCCTCCCCGGCGTCGTCGAACATGTCTTGGCCGGAGGTCGCGGGGGGCGCCGCGATCGGCGCCTTGTCGGGAGCCGCATCTCGCCGATGACTGGACGAGACATCCAATTCAAGCTGCGGCTCGCCGTGCAGGTAGGCGTCCAGGCCCAACAGGCGGCACAGCTGGGCCGGCCGGCCGCCGTGAATCGAGAGGCCGTTCTGCCTGCACCGGCGCTCGATATCCTCGTCCGGCAGGCTGTGCAGCTCGGCGGCCAGCGCGGCGTTCTGGGGCGCGTCGGCGGCGGCACTGGCGCCGCCGTGCAGGAAGGTGGCCTGGAGGCCGTTGAGGTAGTCGTTGGAGAAGATGAACCAGTCGCGCCAGATGCGCAGCACGCGCAGGACGTGCCTTCAGCACAGCGCGCGCGTCAGGAAGCGGGGGGGGTGACGCCTTGAGGGGGGTGCCATGCTGGATGCTGCTGCCAAGGGTGCTGCTGGGATGGAATGCGGACGGGTTCGCTGGGTAACGTGAAACAGAGGTGCGCTTGCAAAACGCGCGAGAGGAGTATCTCGCAGATGGCAATGGCCGTTCGGACGCCGTTAGGGAGCAAGGCTGGCGGAGAAAATAGCAAAGAAGGAAGAGAATCTGTCTCGCAGAACGCAAACGAAACCCGCCTATGTCTTCATTTTCAGTCGCAGCCCAGACCAACAAGGCACCCGAAAAGGCCCAGCGAGCGTGTGGTCAGCCCAACACCTAACTTGTGCGAGCACACAACTCTGTCTGCATCGCACTGGTTTACCAACAAGCAGGCAAAGCAACTGAGTTCAACCTTTAAGGACACAACCAACCTTCTTGTGGCCTCCTGCTCGGTCTTGCTATCCAACGCAGTGTATGCCAAGTGGAAACTCTCAAACACATCAGCCAGCCTATCTTCAAGCTTGGATCGGTACTGTGACGCATTTCTGACAGGTGCTGTGCTGTTGTGCAAGATGTCAGAGACGAGGAAGAGGCGCGCCACCTTCAGGCCCAGGGGCGTCTCAGCAAGAGTCAGAGACTCGAAAAGGATGTCGACGACCTAGAAAACCAAATGGTCATCGGCGTCACTGAAAGCACAGCAACTGAAGGCTCTGCCCGAACCGCACGCAGAGTGTCATGCAATGAGATGGTGCTGCAACAGGGCCAGCAAGGGCTAAAAGAGCTGGCTACACTACGCGGCAGCCTACTCCTTGTGTTGCCCATTCGCACAAGCTGGCTCACAATTGCAGACTGACACATAGCAAATACCAGCAAGCACACACAGCGATGTCGTCGTCCACAGCCCTGCTCAGCAGCAGGCTAAGTCAGCACAATTAGCAGCTTCACCTCCTGCTGCTGCTGCTGCCATTCAATATCAGCACCTCACCTCTGATGCGGCATCGGCATTGTTCAGTGCAAATACCATTGCATCGCAGATACTCTGGCGGTCCACCCTCAGGGAGCGGAGCATGTCCTCGAACTTGTCTCTCTCGAAGTCGGACAGACCCTTGAACCTATCCCTTCCATCGCCTCCCTTTTGTGCAGCTGTCAGTTGAGACCCGTCTCCAATGCACATGGCAGGAGGAATCCAACGAGGGCCGCCGGCCACCATGACAAATGGGTCAATTTGCCAGCTCCTCATTGAATCATCCTACACCACAAACGACGGTTTCGGTGGGATACGTAATTGGTACTTGTTGACAGCGAATCTCATTATGATCTGCACAAAAGAGAGGAGCACATTCACCTTGTGCACTCTACAAGGATTTATATACATCACAAATCACAGGCAATGGGATGGCAGTGCATGAGATGAGAAGCACCTTCCTATTGCTCATGGGTACTAAGCCACCGTGTCACCATAACATACTTTGTCCGTGAGCCTGCAGCGACACATGCTCCATACACATCCAGTCAGCATAGTAACTGTAGCTACGGCACAGTAAAGGCACAGCTGCACATAATGTGCACCCTGAGAAATTCACAAAGTGGCCTGCCTATTTTAGAAACTGTAGCTGCAACATTCAGCACCTGGGTGTTCATAGTACACCACATCTGTGGCGATTGCACAGAAAACAGTTCTTGGAAACTGCTGTCCACCGATGCATCACTGCAGGTAATGCTGCCCACCTTTCCCATTACACTACAGCACAATTGTCAACACAAATGCAGCAAATGCATGCTTTGAGATCCTGAGGGCGCACTTGCACTCTATTCACCGGCTGGATCTGCACACATTGCCGTTCTGCAGCCCAGCTGCACGTCTGATCACTACAATTCTGTCAAGAACAAAGTCAATGTACAGTGGTTCCAGAGCAGGAAGTCACACACTATGTCTGCATTAGATTCATTTCATGTCACATTATTTCCCAGCCCTGCCAATGTGTTTGCCATTGCTATTGCAGACGCCAAGCCTCGTCCACAGCCCCACTGTCCCATCAAGCTCTCAGGCTCACCTCAGCCAAGGAGAACAGTTTCCACCGGTAGTAAGCATGCTCGGGACTCTGAAGGTCGAACAGAAAGCTGAACATGGGGTTGCCAACCTCTCTCTCCATCACCACCTGCTCGAATGCACAGCCATCCCGCAAAACATAGGAAGCCAGAAGGTCGACGATGTAGCGCACGTGCCCATCGGCAGGTATCTGGACTTCTATATCTGGCCCAACGCCCTGTGCCTCCTCTTTGGGCTTTGGCAGGTGTTGTTGAACCATCGCAGACATGCCTGGGTGCTGCAGCTTCCTGAGGGTCTCTGCAGAAGGTGGAGGATAGATTGGAACGGGTGGGATGGGCACAGACTTGCCCCAGCCGATCCGCAGTTCGTACTCATGCAGCATTTCACCATTGAGCTTTTCCTGAGCACGCTGGGCATCCTCTCGTCTCTAAACACATAAAGGAACCATGGCTGAAGACAAAGCAGACACGACCAAGCACTTCCACACCAAGCAGGAAGAAGACCGGAGCCAGCATGACAGCTGGCCTCTGATTTATGCGCTGTGGGTGCAGCACAAGCATCCAAGAGCATGGCACAAAAGTGTACGGGAAGGGGCACACACTGCATTTCAGAGCTTCAAAGCGCTGGCTATCACTGGGTAGCCCAAGAATTATCCAAACTTCTGTGCCCATTGCTTTTGGTAATCCCTCAATGCAGTGGGCAATATCCGCACCATGAAAGCAACGAAGCCACAATTTCTGCCCCTGCGTCTCTGATCTTCATCTCGAGGCCACATGATCTTGACACTGGCAATGGCGCCAAACCGACCAAACTCCTTCTTCAATATGTCCTCGTCCACATCGGGGGCTAGGTTACCAACGTACAGATTGGTTGTGTAAGGGTCTCCATCGGCAAAAGACCCCTGGTTATCATCGGGGAAGACATCGAAGCCAGTGGCCCTGCCCTCTCTCCGGCTCTTAAAGCGCTCCTCACGGAGCTCTTGATCCCTGAAAGGGCATAGCCACAGACACATGCTCCATCAAGGCCGAACTCAGAAAAGAATTTCCATCAGATCTCCACCAGAATCCATTTTCAAATCAGGCCAGTACTCCATGAATATGTAATGTACACAAGTGCAAATGATGCAGAACAGCACAATGTCGATGGCAATGTCATTTTTCCCTGTTCCAAGATTCCAAGATTTCCATGTGCAGTGGGCAAATCTGAAAGTTGAATGATCGGCCAGTTGCTTCATGGGCCACACCAAGGGAGCACCATCAACAACAGCAGCCATTGTTGACATTTGACAGCGAAGGTGGATTGAACCTGGTGCGTCACAATAGCCAACCTTTTCAATGTCTCCAGCATCAGGTCGATGTTCTTTGGCTTGCCTTTTTCTGCTTTCCTGCTGGGCAGCGTTAACTCAGACTTCACAAAGCAGCACCCCTTGTTAGACCCCTCTGCACATTGCACGTGCTTGTGTCTTGGCAGCGGCCCCATGGCAATAGCCGCTCCCAGACATGACAGTGACAGCAAGCGGCACAATCAGCTGACAGCAGCAGTGAGAGTTGAAAGCATCGGAGCTCACCTCAGCCACTGGTTCTTTGGCCATGGCTTTGGCCTCTTCATCAGCCTTCATGGCTGCCACCATGCTTGGTGGTATGAAGGATGGCACATACTGGCCTCCCGATTTCTTTCCAGTGTTTCCAGTGGATGACCCACCAAGACCTGCCCCAGCGCCCTCTGCTGGTGGCACTGTGCCACAATCGCGAATTGAGAAATCAACAACAAAGAGATAGATGACAGCACATGCTTATTCTTCCTCTGCAGCAACTACCTGGAGAGCAAGGGCCTGTTTCCCAGTCAACGAGGCATGCTGCCTGTTGCAAGAGTCCCTTGGAAGTCCATTTTGAATGTAATGACACCAAAGCACACAGCAGTGGCCTTGAAGGGCACTAAACACAGACATAACACACAAGGATGCTGCGTGGCTGCTGGTCACAAGTGTTGCTGCTGAGCACATTCGTCAAACATTCCATTAGCAACATGAAAACACACCTGAGCTGAACAGGAAGGAATGTGGAAGCGATGTTCCACCCTACCCACTTGAAGAGCTATCCATCATCCTTGACATCGCCACATAATGGAAAAGTCAGAATGGCTCACCTGGTGGTGCATTAGTTCCAGGCATTATAGTCCCGCCCCGAACAAACGTCTTGTGCCCAGGCTTTTCCTCATCTGCTTTGAAGGACTCAACGAACTCTTCGTACAATTTTGCGGCCTCCTCATCGGCCCGCTGTGAAGAGAACACAGTTGCTGCCAGGTGAAAATGGAGAACTGGGTGATCGGTTGACAGGTGGACAGCAACTGCCACCAAAAAAGAACCTGGAGGCGATTCTGCCCCCGGCCACTGCTGACCAATACATCCAGTCAAGCCCTGCACCTCCATCATAAGGACAGTGACGACGCACAACAAGTTGGTCGGCAGCCAGGTCAAAGGGCACACCTTTTTCTTTTCTTCCTCCTTCTCCTTGTGTTTCTGCGACGCCACACGGTTCAGGTCAATCGACATTCTGGGAGCTTCCAACCATCCCCTGGCAAGGGCATGCGCCAACCCTGCCCACCTGGTAAGGGGTTCTCTTCCGAACCACCGCGAAGGACAGGTGGTTGTGCATCTCGGTGCTTCGCGTGGGCTGGACCGAGGCTGCCTCAATCCGCAGCCGGCTATTCAAGCGTCCAGTCTACGGGAACCTCTGCTGCTAGGCTTGCCGACAAGGGGGACCCCCGCTGGCTCGGTTTGCATAGCAGCCCTTGAAGGTGCAGCGCAGCGGTGACGGTGCAAGCATTTCCGCATTTTGCCCTCGACATGCAGCAGCAGGATCCCCAATGGTAGGTGTCGGTGACTGTGGGGCCAGTCAGCCTGCAGCCCAAGACGATTTATGGCCGATTGCACGTCGAGCCGAGAAGGGCGTTGGATTCAGGCAGCGGCTGCGTCCCCAGCTCCACAGGTGCGCTGATCCTCGCTGTGGGCGCGGTGGGCAGCTGCTTTCCGCGCTTGGTGGCGTTTGCGTCAGATTGCGCTCCTGGTGAGGTCGAGCGTGAACCCGGGGTTTGGTGGGCGGAACAAGCGAAAGTCAGCGGCGGTGCGCAGGGCTCTCAAACGCGAACGAAATGTCTCATCTGTTGTAGCCAGCGTGGGTGTTTTCACCGGGCAGATTCATGTCAGCTCGGATGGGCTCCCAGGCGCTTCAGGGATACTCTGAATACCGGCAGGTCTGGCCAATTTGGCCACGGCGGTCCGACGGAATAGGGAACGGCAAGTGGCTAGTCGATGCTCTCCTTGGCCGCCCTCAAGGTTGAACGTTCCGTGCCTTAGGCGCTTCCTCGGTGGCGAAGCTTTGCGCGTGCTTCGCTGTTGTCTTCCCAGCCAAACTGGATAAAAAGAACTCTGTGGAGATTCTGAGGCATCTGCTTGACGGTCTTCGGTGGTGGAGTGCCGTGTCAAGCACTGGATAATCTAATTTGGGATATATACGCAACGCGGGAGCTGATAGGACGTCGTGCCGATGTGCGTTGCATCAGCGTAGCCTGCAGACATGATCGTGTCTAGCACTCCTAGTAACCCAACATGAATGGCACTGCATGGCTCCAGTTCGCGAGCTATCATCAATGCACAGTGCGATATTTGCTTCAGGGCCCCAGCTGCTCAGCACTGGTCGACCTCATTCGGTTGCAGTAAGCTGGAGGGCCAGTATTGTTGCCAAACTCCCTCTTCTTACGTTTGGCCAAACATGCTCATGGGACTGCAAGCATGTGCACCGCTTCAGGGGACTTGCAAAATTTGATGCATACAAAATAACCGTGGGATCTTCACTCGCTTTGCAGAGCTGTGCTGAACTGGCTGTGCTCTTGGCAGCCATATCCAATAATGCTAGGGGCAAAAGAAAATGTACCATCGAAAAGTAGATGTCTAGAGACAGCTCTGGTGAATTCAGTTTTGACTGTAGTGCACATAGCATAGCCTCCCGTGTCGAACATTTGTGTGCACATTGGTGCTGATCCACTATCAGCTGCATCAATCAGGTCCAGAAGCTGAGGAAGATGGCGCCCAGGGTTCCAATACTTCTGAAGGAAGTGGTCTACACTCTCAGCCCCTTTGAGCAGTCAGTCACAAGCGGACTGTGGAGGGATTTCTCATACAAGGTCACCAAGCAGATCCAAGAGGTGAGTCTATGTCTGTTTGACCCAGAAGTGTGCAGCATCGTATTCTTCGGTGTGCTGATTTTCGGAAGTGTCAAGTGAGGAATGTTGTGGCTGTTACAGGTCACGATGAACGCTGGCCTCTTCTGTGTGCTGCCTACCTATGCCATCTATTCGTAAGTAGATCTGTGACTTTGATGTTGCGAGAACAAGTTGTAGCTGACAGTTTCATAGTCACCACATTTGCAGGCACCAGATGTGCTGGCATTCCTGTTGCAGAAAGCAGTTCGACCAACTAAAAACAATGTGTAGAATGGTGATTGTCTGGAGGGAAGTGTCTGCCTTCCCAGCTTATTTGATCCAATGGTGCATGCTTCAACTTTGTGTGTCCTGGCTGGTGCTTTGGCAGCTCGTCACCACAGTTGACCTCCACTGGCGTTTTCTTTTGAATCTGTCTGTGTGCAGTGGGTCACAACTGTTTCAGGCCCGACACGCTTGACAGTCGGGTGCAGTATGTCGTGGTGCCGTCCACTCTCTTCTAATTAATGTTTGGGTGTCGCAGGTACTGCTCTGCCTACAGGGAAGCTGAGAAGCTAGAGCACAGATACTAGGAAATGGTATCCTCTGTCCAGTCCAGCTGCAACCAGTCATTCCTAACACTCATGGTATAGCCTGATTATTGCAGCTCAGATAGGGTGTCTTGTTTGAGAGGCATGGGCAACAAGTCACTGCCAGTGCTGTTGGCATGCGCTGGACTTCAGGAAATCCTATAGAAGTGGAAAATTGGGATACTTTTGAACACTTGAAGTGTGGCTACTTCTGCGCTGTGCTTCTCTGTATGGGCCGTGGCAGTGATGCCTTTTTGATGCCCAATTCACCTTTTGTTGTGTGGCTGCATTGAAATTGCCATTATACGCATCTCATATTCCTTCGCCCCATAAGGACAAAGAACAATCCATGCACCTGTTAGGTGATGATGGGCATAACGACCGAGCACATAGTTTGTTCGTGATCCCATTTCCACACAATCCCATACTTGTGACAGTCCCATGTGGTGCATGGATGACTCGATCAACAGATAGAAAAAAACAAAGGCAGGAACCTCCTTGTTTCACCAAAGATAACAATGCCAAAGAACTGTTCAGTAGAAGCTAGCGTGTGATATTCACCTGCAGTAGTTTTATTTTCCCAGAATGTTTATTGGATAGAAGTGCATCAGCAAAGCGCCCTTCCAAAATGTCGAAGTGGAATACAAGCACGCATGTGCACTGCACAAAATCATCATGTGTAGCTGCTGTGTGGCGTGGGGTTGTCAATTCAACGTGCCCTCATCAAGGATGACCTGACTAGGGAACAAAGCCTCGAAAGCCAAGGAGTCCTTACTTGCCGTGGTTGGGTAGTGTGCATAGGGATACACGAAATGGTGTCCATACTTGGAGTGCCCAGAGGGCTTCGATGTGGTGAACGACACTATCCTTGCAACTTGCGATGCTGAATGGCGTGCGTGGCGTACTTGGTGCATTTAGTCGGCATATCACGAGGGCGGTGGGTTTCTGCTAGATTGCATTGACGATGCTAGTACCTTTTGGTGGCTTGTCTGGTCATCTGGAACGCACATTTCCACTGCGTAAAAAGACGTGTCAGACGCATCACAGAAAGCTGGAGTTGGAGAACATTTACCAGCAGTCCCTGGTATTAGTATTCTGCATACGTTATGCCACCATCCACCAGACGTTCACTATAATGGGTACATGCAATCCTTGCTCCCGTGGTCACAAAAACACCAACCTGAATGATGCTGGCACTTGCTCATGCAGTACGGTAAAGCGATGTGCTAAAACCCCGCATTGCACAACCATATATTGCCTGCCTGCTCTTTTGCCAATGGAGAAGTACTGCATACTAAGGTAAAGAGGTAACCGCCACATCCTTGTTGCGATTGCTGTTGCTCATCCACAGCAAATGGACTCCCACAGTCACTTTTCCGTGCGGGACCCTCAACTTGCATGACAAGTCGTATCGTCGCCAATGCAGTCAAAATGGACTGTATATTACCAATTCGCCTTGCGCAGTCAACATGCATGTTGAACATGGGGCCAGATATCACCACGACTTGATGCACAGGTGCAAGCGAGCATTGGCAGTAAGAGAACATGATCGTGGCTCCTGCAGCAGTCTATGGATACCTCTACTACAGATATTCAGATGGGACGGACGCCACTGTGTACTTCCTGAATACAGAAAGCAGACGCTTCGAAATGCCTGTTTCTTGCGGATTGCTAGGAACGCTGACACTATGTCATTGTCTGAGCGCGGCAGAAGCACTTGCCATGACCAGATTGTCGTTGTCCACGTTGCATGTAATGGATACGCTCATTCTTTCACTCACTCGTTCATGAGCCTGTTCTGCACATGACCACCTCCAGTGTGGATTTGCCGCTCCAGCACATGAGAGAATGCCACCAGCAGAACATTGTCAATTCGCATGCATAAACACGCATGTACGGGGACATACACACCTGCTCAACAGCGTAGCAGTATATCGCTTAATGTTCCACAAGCATGCCCAATAGCGGTAGGTGCCGAGCGCTGACCATGCCAGTTGACTTGGTCAGCGCAGGATGCTCTGATTGCCTGCTAGAGTTGATCCCGACGTTGCACTATGGGCAGTGCCAAGGAAAGTCGAAAGGGGCGGGCCTCAAAAATCCAGGTTGGGGGTTGCGCCAGAGGAACGCTATCAATTTCTTGCAACATCAAAGTTCAAGCTGACCGGTATGGCCTTCTGAGGGACCCGTAGAATGGGTGGCCACAAAATGTCACGAAATATCTGTTAAGTATCTTTGATGACATGAAGAAATATCTGCGATGTCAGCTATGATAAGTCTGGACTCTGGATATGCATTATGACCTCTGACTGCCTTGAGCCCATTCAATGCACGGACAACGAAATTGTTATCGCATCGAATCGCCGCCGTTCCACCATTTACTGAATGGCATGCAACAGTAATTCATGGGGCATCGACTCCTGCAAGGAACTGACAGTCAGGCAGCAGCACAGTCGCCCGTAGAAAGCTAGTGTTGATGCATTTTTCGGTATCTTCTTTCAGTAGACTTGTCACATGCAGGCTACCCCTGCACGATGGACCTGCCATCCGTAACATATCAAGCGTGCACTGTCGCCGCATTGAAAGAAGGGAGGCCGGAATTGCTGTGCACGAAACACCTGGTGGGCACATTCAGTCAGGGGATAGTATTCCTGGACAGTCCATAAACCGTAATGTCTTCTGAGGCATTCAGAGACATCACTTCAGAAGCCCCTCCAACTTGCAGCCCCACAATTCACCCACGTTGTCTGTCGCGTGTGGGCCATCACATCTGGAGGCGCATTTCCTTCCTGCGAACAGGTGAGAATCAGTTAGTTATTCTGCATCACCTTTCCAGGTCTCGAAATTTGAGTCAGCCCTCATCCATGAGGTTTCGAGGTTCTGCTGTGCGCTCGGGCGCAGCAACCATCTCCTGGACAGCCTTTGGTCGTACAACGCAACTGATGAAACAGAATTCGAGTCGCCGAGCCTGCGGGAGGCGCATGTTGCTTATCGCCAACAGCCGATGAAGAGACTCGCAATGAAAGCTGCATTGGCGAATGAGCTGGAAGCGAAGGGGACCCACGAAGCGTCTGATGCCGCGATGGCGCTCCGCATGGAGATGCTGGGACTGGCTAAAATTCATGGATCCATTCTCCGGCTGGACGGACATGGGTCGTGGAGGTTCCTGCTTCCCGTGACCCACTTCCACCTTGGCCGCCGCTATTTCGAGGCCTGCCTGTACAAGCAGGCAGCTTACCACGCAACGAGGTGGGCTTGGAGAACCTTTCTCAGTACAGTTCCTGCAGTAACATGACAGCTCATTGTCCTCACTTCCAACAAACGACGAATGTCGCTGTGGCTTCCGCCGCTTCTGGGAATAGCTGCGTTCTTGAGCTGTTCGGGCTGCATTTCGCCTCCAAAAGAGGCGCCTCGCTTTGTGAGCATTCGTGCGTTGCGAGCCCGCAACAGTCGGTGCAGCGCTTCAGACCAAGCCCCCTACCCCTGGTGGGCGCTGCTGCTCCTGATGATCTGATGCCCATGCTGCGCACATTGGAGGAGGGTGGTCGGTGCCATCGGAAACAGCCCCTCAGGGAATCGTGCGCGCTGCACAGTTCGCACGTATTTTAGTACAAAATTTTTAGATGCTTCTAAATGACCACTCTCATGGGAATGTGCCCCTCTGACCAGGCTAACACCAACTCACCTAAGGCTGAGTGTCCATTATGCATATTTGTTGCCATCTGTCGGAGGGGGGACATGCTTCTTTCGAGGAACATCGCCCTGCATGTCTCACACTTGTCTCGTGTATGGCACAAGCCCTTACGTTGTTTGGCTGCCCCTATGGGTATCGACACTTTGCAATTGTTTTGCTGCTTTCTCCAATCGTTCATATTTACGCATCATGCGTTCAAACTTGCTTGTTTTGAATGCAGCACAGTGCCCTGCCATCGAGCAAAATACCCGTCACATGCGCTAAAATTTTGAGGCTGAAACCTGACAAGTTGTCTGCTGTGTTTCAAACTGCGCAGCGCCCTCGACATGTTGGCATGCACGCCTGATGAGGTAACGGGCGAATGTGCGCACTCCAGGCAGCACAGGGATGTCTCGGAACCCCTGCACCGGCTCCTCGGCAGCTCAATGCTTCAATTGAAGTCGCTGGATGCGGCGGTATGACAACAGCTTCGAACGCAGAACAGTATGTGTTGCGCCGACAGCGACGCCAACATGCAATAGATCGATTTAGTTCGATAGAAATGGCTGTTTCGGTGGTACGCCAACCATGAGTTTTGTCCGCTGGTTGTGCCAATGGCAGCCCTGCATCCTTTTTATGAAGTTTGCTATGCTATTCGCGTTCGTTTCGCCTGGAAGAATTCATCCTCTTGCAGTTTCAGAAGAATTTGGTGGGCGCCCTGAGCGGTGCTGTGCAAGTATTACCTAAAATGGTTGCGATATAAGAGCCGTATGCCCGTAGCAGGCGCTTATGTTCGGTGTGTGCCCTTATGGGTGGTATTGAAGTTCGAGACACGACGGCAAGGTGCCCTGTTTGTAGCAGGTGCTCGTGAGGGACACCATCACTGAACCTTTATTAATTATGCTCTTCAGACGGCAATGTGGCACTTCGAACAAGCCATGGACAACTCGGGACCAGAGGGCATAGAGCCGGCTGTCAACGTTCAGGCTGCCATATGCAACAAAGCCCTTGGCCTGAAGTCACTGCACAAGGCCAGGGTGCTCAAGAAGAAACTGCAAGAGCTCGAAGAAAACAACGAACAGATCAATCGCAGCGCCTCTAGCTTTCCAGATGCATCCTACGCCTGCATGCAAGCCAAGGGCAAGAGGGCGAGACTGGCGCGGGAGATGAAGCAGACGCACAAGCAGGAAAAGTTCCAAAGCGACGCTGCAGCGGAAAACTTTGAGTGTGGCGTTGATAGATTGATGGAGGCTATCACTGCCATGGAAAGCACGGGCCAAACTGTGGCTGAAAAGCAGCAGGTCTCAGCTGTGGTGGCGAATTTGTACAGGTAGGGCGCTACAGATCGCGTCTGAATTGACTGATTGGATCTAAACATGCATCACCTGGATCAGATATGTCTACAGCCCAAGTATGTACTGGTGTTAAAAATAACTTTTGACCTTGCGCATTTGAAAACCTAGGTCGTTCTTGCAGCTTTTTGGGGTTCAACGCCATTGACCGACGTCGGTCAGTCCCGTGGGTTGGTTGGCGCAGGCCAAGGGTGGCAATGCGCAAGCAACACGGTATACTTGTGCACGCAATGGGGTCAAGGGCGCAGTGGCTGTGACTACACAGAAACTAGTACCCCATTTCGCTGGAGAATATGCAGGAAATATGCATTTTGGTGAACGCTTATTTGGTCAAAGAGACACGGTGACGTGGGATGCCGGGGGTGGGATCTGGTGGGGCTTGGCGTCTCATTCTTCAAAGAAATCAATTCTAGATGCGATGATGAACCGATAAATCGTCGATTTCTTTGCCACCAGAGCCAAACACTCCTAATCTCTGACTTCCAGCGGTGGCTATTAGCTACTAGTGAAATTGGTGACTATTAGCACTGAATTAAAATGAAGTTAGCCGGGGATTGATTCCTTCCCAGGGCACAAGCAGCGTTCAAATTTGCATGCATGCATGCACACATGCAAGGAACATGCGTGCAAGAGACCATCCCTGGTAGCGTCTCCCTCAGTTCTTTGCGCCAGTTGGCCGCGGCACCAATCCACTGAAATCCCATGACCGAATAACGCAACACGTGGCTCATTGTTTCCAATGTTGTAGGCTTTGCTCCGAAGTGATGATGGCACTTGCAGAGACGAAAGCTTTTGTTGGCGACCACAAGGGCTCTGCGGGGATCCTGGGAGAAGTCCTATCCATCCACACGGCCTACGGCGCAATCCCGCCCAACATGTTGGCAGAGGTGTTGAAGAAACGCACCACAAACTTCCTCGAGTTGGCCAGACTCAATGACGCTCTGGAAGCGATAGAGGAGCTCTTGCGTGTACTGAACGAGGCGGCGAAGCATCCTGAAACACGAGGTTCAGGTGGCGAATTGGGTAAAGCGCGTCGAACGCGGGCAAAGGCGGAGGCACGGCGGACTGAGCAAATGATACTCGAGGCGAGAGATCTGCGGGACGACATTGTGAACCAGTTGCAAGCACTCGAAAACAACTAGCTAATTCTGGCAAAGAAGGAATGAGGCGGGAGGCCGTCGCCCATCAGCTGCACAATTCCTGTGCCCCAGAAATCCTCGCTGGGCGATTGTACTCATGTTGGTGGAGAGAATTCACAAAAGCTCAGGCCCTTGTGTCTGTCGAAGTCTCGCAAGCCTCTTGGTGCGGAATCAAGGGAGAATCAAGGACATCCGAGGCGAGCGGAAAGAATCTTGATGCTGTTAAGCGCATTGTGGCAGCGCCCTTGCACAAGGATTGTAAGCGACCAGTCATCCGTCTAGTACTGAAAGAACCGCCATCATCAATTCTATCACTTGTAACAATTTGGGCGCGTGCTGCTGCGTGCAAACATTCGGAGAACGCTGCATCGGCAACTCGCCATGCGTTTGAAGGGGAGCGCACCGGCCAAAAATAACTCTGCTTTCGGCCTCCATTTTTCGCCAGTGCTTCCCTACTCGACGCCCAAGACGTCGTGCTGCACGGCACGGGTCTGCACTGCCCACTGTCGCAGCAGGTTCGGCGTCGCCATGTTCCCTCCGCACACGACCACGACGACCGGCTCCTCGCCCCCGCCGGGCAGGTCGTCGCCCCTGAAGTACGCCGCGCCGAGGCTGGCGCCGCAGGCGGGCTCCACAAGGGCCCGGTGGTCCACGGCGAACCTGAAGCACGCCTCCACCGCCTGCGCGTCGCTCATCACGAACGGCAGGATCTCCCGCCTCCGCCTCCATACCAGGCACTCCTCGGACACCCTCCTGGCGCCCAGACTCTTGGCCACGCTGCTGATCTCCGGCACCGACACCACGCGGCCGCTCTTCACCGCAGCAGCAAAGCTCGCGGCGCCCTCTGTCTCCACGGCCACAATGGGGACATCGTTCCACCCCGCCCTTTGCATGCCCACGCAGCAACCCACCAGGAGACCCCCACCCCCGACGCTGGCGACGACCGCGCCAGGAGTTGACGGAACACCGTTTCCTTCCGGACTGCCCGTCAACTGGTGCTTAATTTCGTCGATCATGGAGGCGTGGCCCTCCCATATGTCGGGGTGATCGAACGGGGGCACGTGCTCTCTGCCGTGCCGCCCGGCCAGCTCCCGCGCCAGCGCGTCAGCCTCGTCCCAGACGTCACCGTGCACCACCACGTCTGCACCTTCGTCTTCGATTCGACGGATCATGAAGGCGGGGGTGGTCGAAGGGACGACGACGGTGACGCGGATGCCCAGGACTCTGCCGCTGTGGGCGACGGCCTGGCCGGCGTTCCCGCCGGAGGATATCACCAGGTGGTCGCAACCCCTTGAGCGAGCCTTCTCGCAGAAGTGTCCCAGGCCCCGCGATTTGAAAGACCCCGATGGTTGCATGTTCTCCATTTTAAGGTAAACGGGACGCCCGACCACCCGAGAAAGCGGGTCGCTGAGCAGCAGTGGGGTTTCTCGATACAACGGGGGGGAGTTGGCCCCCGGGGTGTGGCACGCTCTGACGCGGGGGGCAGCGAATTGTGGCCTTTGCCTCGCGGAGTGTCGGACTGCGGCTCCCTGTGTCGGCTCCCTGCCTGGTGATCTTCTGGCTCCTCCAGAAGGAGGGCTCGTAGAATTGTGCCGTTGACATCCGTGCCGGTGCACTTGGTGCGCGTGCAGTGACATTCCCCAGTGATCTGTCCCAGCGCAGGTGCGGAGGAAAGACGGTCGTCAAGACGACAACGGCCACGCAGCACAACAGAAAACACGGGCAACAGCCTTTCCCCGGCCGTTTCAGGCTCTTGTGTGGCTGAGCATTGCAAACGCATCGCGGTCTAACCGGCTACAGAAGGCGGAAAATCTGCTTTCGTGGATTTGAAGATGGATACATGCATGGAGGCAAGATCGGCAAGATTGCACGGCTCGCCGGTGTGCAGTGATGCATTCAGTGGCCACTGATAACATTGTTAGGGAGAATGTCCAAGTGCAACGAGGCGCAAGCCGTTTGAAAACCTTTTGCGCTGCCTGCCATGCCGACTTCTCAGAGTGTGCTGAGGTGCATCAAGCACATTATTGCACTCAAGCGACCATCCCTGAATGCTTCCATTGGTTCACAGTACAGACACCTACGATGGATGGATGCGTTGCGCTGGTTGCACCGATTAGACAGGCGCCAACAGCTGGACGCCTTGCACCTGCCAACTCTTGGCCGTCTATCCTCGGCTGGAGGCAGGTCACAAAAGTAGTCAGCAGTTAACCGCGTTATGGAGTTACGGAATTCCGAGTGCCAGCTCCTTGATGGTTGACGCGGACGCCAAGAGGCAATGCTTGGGGATTCGATGGCACCAGCGCTGTATGGCAGCCCGTTGGCATCTCAGCCACCCTCTGCCTACAGATGAGGAATCCTATAGGCCAGCAATCGAGCAAATCAATCGAGCGAATGTCGCCGCTGCGCGTTTCGCCTGCGCCTCTGGACGCAGACAGACGCAGAACGTCCCGCATCTAAACATGGGGCCGCCTCTGCACCCTCTGCCCCTCTCCCAGGACCCGGCACGGCGAAATGGCCCCAACTGGCCAACCTCAACCGAACATTCATGATATATATCTCCTGTCACAGTTTCTGCACAAAACAACCAGCAGCTAGCTGCGACCAAGCAAAGGGCGTGTTGCGAGCTCGAGTGCCTGCTCTTTGATGGGCGGCGCAAACATCAAGCCACAATACATGGGGACTCGACGGAACTTGTCCAGTGTGGCAATCCGTTGGAATCTCCGTCCGCACTCCGCTAACGAAAAAGGGATCCTGTGGGACAACAATCGAGTGACGCCGCCGCTGGGAGTTCCTCCTGCACCTCTTGAAGCCAGCGTATGCAAAACGTCTAGCGAGTGAACGTTGGGGCCCATCTCCCTGGACCGCACAAGCCCAACTTGCCTCACCTGCCCAACCTCTCAACCCAACACTCCTGACACCTCTCTTGTGCACAACTGGCGCCGCCAGCTGCGGGCTGAAGGCTCCAAGCTGTGCCGACTCCCGACCGTGCTACTGGAACGATCCTTGGCAATGGCCGTCCGAACTCTCCAGTCTCCGCATCGCATTCACACCGCGCTGGTACCCGGGAAACCGCACATGTAACCGGAATGCAGCCATTAGGTAATGGCCAAGTCACCTGACCAAACCGCTGTGTCAACCTCATTACAGAAAGACCACATAGGGATTGTTGACAGTGGGCCCGCACTGTTGTTGCTGTCGAAGCGTGCCATGGGATGGCTTTGGGGAGCCAGCGATGCGGAGAAGAAAGGGGATGTCGCGAAGAAGCCCACCGTTAAAATTTGCTGCGCCTGCCCTGAGACGAAGGTTGGACACTGGGCCTATGTCCGTGCTGAAGTGGCCCGTGCGGGAATTTGTACCATTGTACCATGGCAATCACGCTGACGTCTGTGCTCTCCATTTCGCACAGAAAGCTCGAGATGCGTGCATCGTAGAGAAAGGTGCGCTGGACAAGGGGCCTTCGGATATCGTGCTGTAATAATAGCTGGAAACATTTGTGGGCGCGTTGACGGCATGGACGGAACGGGCAATGCCGGAACGGAAATGTCTTGCAGTGGATGGCCTTAGCCAGCCTTCAAGCACCACTGCTTACTTTCTACCAACGTACAGGGATGAATGTTGTTGCCCTCAAGATGATCATGCCTTTGTCCTCAAGATTCCTCTCGCCAAGAGCGGGGGGATTTGCATGGTTTACTGCTTGTTGTTGCCACAGGTTGCAGCATTGAATATGATTTTCCAGGGCCTGACACTGCACTGTGATCTGACCATGAGGCCTTTGCCTCTGGCCAGTGGCTGCGCTCCCCACAGTATGTGTTTCCCGTCTGCTGCAGGCGAAGAAAGATGCCGAGACCTCATAGAGGCCCACAAGGAGTGCCTACGAGGGGAGGGTTTTAAGGTGAGTAGCTGATCGTTCATGTGCATCAGCTGTCACTGGCGCTGGACCACGTGTTGCACAGTTCATGTGTATGCATGCTGCAAGGAGACAGGTGTACGCTGATACGGACTGGAAATTCTGTTGTGTCAAAGGAAGCAGGCTGGTCCCCTTCAGTGCTCTGAAAATCTCACAAGTTGCTCGTCGATTCCAAGCTTGCTAAATTTGAAAGTACAATCTGCTGTCTTTGGGTGTTGCTCAATGTTGCCACAACATTCACTAACAGTTGAGAGTCTGTCGCTGCTGATGCTTGGCAATGCCCTGTGGGTGAACAGTCAATTGCAGCTACAAACCTTGTTAATCCCAATTGCTGACACACACTGCTGACACTGTAAATTGTGTCCCAGATAATGGCTTTTTGACTTTTGAACTATGATTCTCATTTGCTCCTGGTAGCTTGTTTAGATAGGGTATTTTGGATAGTATCTACCAATCTTGGTTACATGGGCATATTTCCATGGAATAAGGTGTCCGCCTGCTGGTCAGTTCAGGGGGAATACTATATTGCAGCTGTGCACTTGCTGTATGTGGCTGAATGCTGTGTACACTCCTCTGTCAAATGCACTGCAAACTCTATCTGTGATGGCCAATCTTTTGAAGATGGACATTTGTTTCAGACAGTCCCTGTCCATGCCCCAGAATTGTCGTGTCTTCCCCACCATGTCAAGCATGACAGTTTTGAATATGTTGCAGAATATGCCTATCAGCACCTCAAAAGGTCAGGCAATGCTTTACAACTGGATACAATTTTACCAGCACATAATTGTACAGACAGTTTTTACTGCGTTCCATAACTACTGGAATGTTCCAATATAGCAGCATTAGTTGGAACGGCTTCATTCTATCCCTGCTGATAAGGTGCTCTGTGGCGTTGCTTTCAACACCTTCGTAACCACCAGCTGCTGGAAATCTGGGACACTCTCAGTGTCCCTGATCTCCCTATAGTGCTGGACGTGGGCATGGGCTGACTGTGGAGATGAAAGCCTTCACTCCATCTGTGTGATCGGCATAGCACTTCAAGCACACCACAATTTTTCTTTCTGGCCATTGAGCCGGCAATGGAGTTGTGTTGGATGCCCAAGTGTATGCGGGTATGCTGCAGGTGTGATGTCACAGGAAATTTGTCCTCTGCCAAGGCATCTTGGGGCCTGTCTGGGTACAAAGCAGACAACAGTGGGCTGGTCCAGGTTCAACTTACAGTTTAGTAGAATGCGCACACTTTGTTAGCTGGGGAATGGCAGATGTCAAGACAAGCATATGTAAATAGTTTTCAGCCTGTTCCATATTTGGGTGCATCCAAACGCACAGATAGTCGTTATTACTTACATTTTGCGTTCCATGAAAAAGGGGTGATTTTGTGGTTCGACCAGAGTGGTATTCGTACGTCACAAGCACACAGAGAAACACTGCAGCTCCATCAGCACTGAACTGAGTCTTGGTTTCCTGAAAAACAGAAGAGTATCTCAGTCCCAACGGTCCACTCTTCATTAAGAACAATACGTCTGTATGGAACGAGAGCTGGTGCTCCGTTACATTGCAAAACATTGTATTCCCTATAACAACATGCATTCACACCAGTGCATGCCGTGGGTGGGTCATGTCCACTCCGCAGGATGATGTCCAAAGGCGGTGCTAAGCCAGACAAAATCCGGGATGATCAGAAAGCATCATCTTTCCCCGCAGAAATTGAAGGGTGTGCGGCGCACCACTGAAGTACTCAAGCCGCTTAACGACGTGTACAGGGGGAGGAACACTGCCAAGGCTCACACACACATGTATGGTGCTCATCCCCATAGGCGCAATCAGACACACTCGATAAGCTCTCCCGTGCTGTTGCTTGTTTGCAGCTGCTGGCGTCTCTAACTGCTCAAGTGTGGTCCCATCACCCCTCACTGGCAAGGCCGAGTCGACACTCTGTGTTCATAGCCTGTGCCCTAGTTACCAGAACGTCAAGCAACGAGGAACAAGCAAGCAGCTACGTCCAACGCAATTCATACGAAGCAAGGCACCGTTGGTGGAACTCTCAATTTCTTCGCCGAGTTGTTGAATTTTTTGTCCTTCCAGAACCAACAGCGAATGTGTTCAGCCATGACAAACTCAATTGGCCCCCAATGCAAATGGAAGCGCTGTTCGCATTCTTGGCGCCGCAACTGCCGTACTTGTGGCCGCAGCAGTCGGTCTGACACCCATTCGCCAAAACACCAAATGCAGCCAATGTAGCGTTCTGGTGCATCTCCGGTGCGCAGTGTATTTTGTTAATTCTTCATGCGCATATGGGGCCCTCGCAATGTGGCTGCGGGAGCGGAGAGAGACGCGAGAGGCAGGAACGTCCTCGCTCTTCCCGACGGCGGAAACAGCAGGCATTCATTACAAGTCCAGCCTTTTGTATTACAGAATCAAAGCCAGAATTCATCCTCGTTCGTTGACGACCCAAGCTGTCCCTCGGCGACAGCACTCTCTAGAACCCCCCATTACAATGAAATTCCCTTAACCCCCTAACGGCGACGTCCCTAACAATTTTCGTCGACCATGCAAATGGGCAATTCGCCAGATGACTAAACCTCAAAAACTGTTGGCAGCACCTGTGCAGGGACAGCAGCCCCCAGCGCTCATTCCCAGCACATGGAGGCCCCGCGGCAAAGCCTCAGGTGGCTTCCCGGACTCAAGCGCAAACCGTAAGCCGCGTTGAGCGGAGGCAGGGGGGTCGAGGGATGAGGCCATGAAAGCCAGGCAGGCGGCTACTGGGCTCGCGCAGCAGGTACGCTTTGAGTACTGCGGCCAGGGGACCAGCGTCGTCTGTGCGATTGAGATAGTATCGGTCGAGGGGTGATGCGTTTGAGGAGCTCCCGGATACCGAACTTGCGAAGGTTGGCTCAGGGCGCGTCGTAAGTGAAATGCACCGCACGTTCGCGTTACTCTGCGCATGTGTGTGCGTGCTCTTTGCTGTACGGAGTTCGCCTGTGGTGCGTGATTCGCGGTGGTCTTCCCCTTGGCCAGCCACAAAGCCTGTGCGCGTGTGGCCCTTCTCTGTTCATCCTTTGCGTCTCGCAGTCATGAAGTCAGATGCGGGGATAGTTGCACAGATGCACTCGGCTGAAATCAAAGATCCACCCCGCTGTGGCAGAGGTGGAGGATTGGTGGGTGCCTGTGCAGCGCGAGTGCGATGCGGACCCTGGCTGCAGTGACTGGAGCGCACAAGCGGCCTGTGCAAGCTAGTACCGAAGGCGCTGAGATGAATCACGTCAACGTGAAAATGTTTTGTATTCCCTCTGTCCACCTCAGGTTGTTTCTGGGTGAACTGGCCACTGCCAGTGACTCCATCCGTGCAAATGGGTCGCGAGCGAGCATCAACAGTTTAATCATAGCAGTCCCATCGGGTCATGGATCCATCGACAAGGGATGCCATACAGAGAATGTAGGAGAATGATTTCGGTGCAGTACCTTGATGTCTGGCGGTGTGTCAAAGTATTCATCAGTGGAATTGTACAGCTAATGTAATAGGCCGTCGCTTTGTATGCCTAACAATGCAAGACGTTATTCCACCCTGATGCAGAGAATCTAAAATGCAAAGGACACAGGCAAACATGAGGGTTTGTCACTTGGGATTGGACGGCTGGAGGAGGCCATCAACACAGCCAATTGTGACTTGGGTCTCTGTGTTTCAGTGAAGTTGGCAAGTCTGTCTCTGCAACATGGACGGGCTGAGCATCAACGACCTGGAAGATGGGGTGTTGGTGAAGATCTTTGCAATGGCGGTTGGGGCACCCTCAAGAGAATTCGATCCTTACTTTGGCGGTTTCTTCAAAGGCAACCAGAGTTTGGAGCCCACAGTGGTGGAGGGGTTTGGAATGATCCTCACACTTCCTCAAGTCTGTAAGAGATGGCAGGGTCTGATAGACAGTGCCCCCACACTGTGGAGCCGTGTTTTTGTGGGCAAGCCTGACGAGGGTGGACCGCCTCCTGGACCTGGCGCAGCGGTGGGCAATCCTTTCACCTATGTGTGCCCCAATATGGCAGGCTATGCCCCTGTGTCTGCGGGGCGATCGTGGGCAAAATTCAAAGATGAAAATGGCTTGTTCTAGACTATCTGATGAGTTCCCTATTTCTGTAGTGTTGTAGTTGGAAAACATGGATTTGATTTGCCCAGCACACTGCAGTGCTCGAAGCCAGAAAACGACTTTGAGATTGTTCTCCCACCCTGTTTGCCAGCCTTTGGCCTTGGTTCAACAAATTCTGGAACACAGATGCTGTAGTTGCACCCACAACTGTGATGCCACCGCAGCAAGCACAGGCATGCAAGCAGATTTGCAATCTACACCAACAGGTCCAGCAACACATGCCTTACCTGGTGACTGTGTTGCCCGCTATCCTGATCATTATGTGTCTTGCATGGGCAACAGATGACGTATCCCCCTGTTGTGAACCTGCGGTGGTGGTCCAATCACTGCTCCCTGGTTGAGAGCCTGCACATCCGCGGGAACCAGACCAAAAGGGACGGCCCCTTGGATACCTTCAACCTTGGTGTGCTGTCCCTCCTCTCTTCCCAGCGACTCAGGGTGCTCCACCTCGACGACTGCTTTCAGAATGGCGCCTCCGAGAGCCTCATCCCGGTGCTGACAGGCCTTCAGAATCTTGAACAGTTGCAGATTGGCCCGGCCAGGAATGAGTTTGCCAGGGGTGTGGAGCAATTGACCAAGTTGACAAACTTGAGGCTGCTGGAGCTGCAAGGCATGGATGATGCAGCTGTGCAGCTGTCTTCGAAGTACTTGCCCATCAGCCTGGAGGTCTTGGCCCTTGGGGCTGTTGACATCTGCCCTAACACAGAGGATAATTGTCATCTGACAAACCTAAAGGTGCTGAAACTGGTGGAAGTGGACTGGGATGGGCCGTTCTGCGCACACATCGGTAACCTCATCAACCTGGAGGAGTTGGTCCTCAGCGATGTGTACCACACCATGGAGCATGTCCGTGAGACAGAGTTGTTCATCGAAGAACTGTCGAAAATAAGCGCACTGGAGAAACTGCGGCACCTGGAAGTCATGGGGGACCTGGACAACGAAGACCGCGGGCTGTTTGAGAGAATCGGAGAGGCGATTGTGCAGAAGCCGCCTTTCAAATATCTAGAGAAGCTCTGCATCAGCTTCCAAAGCATGCAGGAGTTCTCCCCTGCGTTTGGGCACTTCGAAGACTTGACTCACCTCAACCTCGAAGGATTCCATCTGTCCTCTGTGCCAGTGGCTATCATGGAGCTTCCATGCCTTGTCGATCTTGGTTTGTGCAGCTGTGGGCTCCAGACGTTTCCCACCACAGCCCCCGCCAGCGCAGCCACCATCACCCTGTTGCGCCTGGTGGACAACAGATTCCCGGAAGTACCCATCGGTCTGAAGCACTGGAAAGGCTTGCAGGAGTTAGACATGTCAAATAACTACTTCCATTTTACTGACCATGCCGCGTTCCTGCTGAGCCTGCCTGACCTGGAGTGTCTGCGTCTGTTCTCTGGAAAAGCAAGGGCTGGGGCTGAGTCTTTTGAGCGCGTTGAGAATGTAGATCGTGGTCAGCTAGGCTGTCGTTTGGGGTACCATTTGGGTTATCTATGCGGTGGGCTGCAGGCGAAAGGGTGCAGAGTGTATCTGTAGCATGGTTGTGTGGGCAGTGTTGAATCACGGAGGTGCACTGTAGTTGGACTGTACATTTGACTGAGTGGTGACTGAAGTAGTTTGCCTGGCTCTGAGGGTCAACTGCATGGTAGCAGGCTGGCCATTCTGGCACAATTTGTGTTGTGTGCATGCTGTCTGTTCCATCTTGGACAAGCGAACTTCATGACGAGTTGATGAGACTGTGCTTTGTGATCCTTGTAATTCAATGCTTCATTAAATCAAGCCCAACATATGCACTTGCAAGGAGAGTCGTCTGCTTGACGTTGATGCTTTCCCGGGCCAGTGCAACCTGCCGATGAGCGCCACAACTAGAAAAATTCTGCCTCCCAAGGGTTGAGTCCCATTGGCCTTGTGTAGTGTGTGGCCCTTGTCGATGAGTGCATCACTTCTATCAGTGTGTCAGGATCACTAAAAATTCAAGGGCACGGTGATCCTCAGGGACAATCGAGTCTTGGGGTCGCCCTCGGTGGCAGCAACCCCAGCAAGGGGCGAGCATCGCTGTCACTGCACCCATCTTTGGTGCCACAAGCCTCCGAATATGTACTGATCAGGTGGCCTCCATGCTTCTGTTGTTGTTGATGAGTGAAAGGTGGTGCTCAAAGCTGCCTCGACGTCCACTGGGTGGCCCTTCGGCGGTTTTTGACCACACCATGCACAGGTGTGCAGAGGGCGTCCAGTCGATGCACAACTGGATGCGAAAGTGGACGGCATTGTGCGCGACACCAATTGGTTGCACCCTGCCGCCAGGGAATCCGCCACATTTGAAGTGACGTCGATTCGACTTTGCATCCCCCCCCCTTCAATTCACGCGCTGTCTCCATCAATCAATCCATCATTCCAGTACCAACCAGCGAGAACAAAGCAGTCGCGCTGGGCGCCCGTGGAATTCAAAGTCAGCACCACCCGTCGCATTTCCGAACAACGTTCTGGGACGAATGATGGCGGTGAAGTTTACCAATTGCAGTAGAGATCCACGTTTAGTTCCCAACTGCGCAAGCAAGCAGCCCAGCTCCCCGCGCGATCGACGCCAGCCGGCGGCCAATCGGCGCGCCGCCATGTCGACCCTCCCGCGCCCCCAGACCCACTCGCACAAAACGTGGCGCAGCCTGTGCCCGCGCCCCGCCCCCCATTCGCGCGCCCATTCCAGATCCCCGCACAGGACCGTCTGCCAATCCGCGGCTTCGGACGAGGCCAGGGTGAAGTTCAACGACGGCACGGACACGGCCTTCTGTCCGATCCTGAACGGGTGCTGGCAGCTCGCCGGGGGCCACGGGCAGGAGGTGTTCGATCACATCAACGAAAAGTTGACGGCCCATGCGGAGGCGGGATTCACGACCTTCGACACGGCGGACATCTATGGGCCGTCGGAGTCCATCCTCGGCAAGTTCCAGGAGCAGTGGGCCGCCTCCGGGCGCCCGCCGCTGCAGCTCTTCACGAAGTACGTGGTGTTCCGTGGGGCGCCCAGCTCGCAGGACGTGTCCTCGGCGGTGCAGAGGTGCGCCCGTTGTCCACACAGGCGGTCGCATCTGCGGTCGGCCGCTGTAATGACACCGGTGGTATCTGTATGGTTATCAGTGTATCAGCACCGGTGGTATCCGTGTGTTGGATGGAATGGTGTTTAAGGGGCGGACTGCACTCTTCCTTGCCCCTGGCCGGGTGGTTTGGTAGATCAATGGGACATCCCATGGCAGGTACCCGGCTCGATCGCCGGTCAGACACCCTCCTCACCAACCGCACTGAAACACCATGTTGGCAGCGCTGGCGTATCGGACTCGACGACCGTGGGGTCGGATTACGCCGGTAATTGTTGAAGCGATTGATCGATTCTGCCGCCAGCCGATTGGTCTGTCAAATGCTGAGGTGAAATGCTAGAGGGGAACGACAAAGTCAAATGCTAATTTTGTCGTTTCCCGATTTGCCGACAGGTCCATGGACGCGCTCCGAGTGAAGCAGCTGGATCTGGTCCAAATGCATTGGTGGGACTACGCCGTGCCGGGCATGGAGGACACGGCGCTGGCGCTTGCGGATCAGAGGGCCAAGGGCCGAATAAAGAGTGTGGGCGTCACCAACATCGACACCCCCAGGCTGGAGAAAATTCTGGACGCTGGCGTGCCTGTGGTCTCCAATCAGGTGTGGACAGAAATCAGTGAGTAACGCGCAGAAATGGTGTTCTGTTCGTTGTTCGTCAGCTCCGCGACGTGGAAACATATGGGAGCTTCATTGACGCGCAGCTGGACGGTCTGGTGTCTCAGAGCATGACAATGTACTGGCGTTGTGGATGCGATTTCATTGAAGGGGGAACGACCGCTCTTGTGAGGATTGTGAGAACTAAGAATTTAGTGTATCAGAAGTGGAATGCCATGTTAGCATGGCATCCATATTTATGAATGTCAGAAGAGTGTTTAGGCGCAGATCGTGGGCTTTCCCTGGAATTCTTTCTTCAAATTTGAATGTGGGAAATTAGCAACCAAGACGACCTATGCTCAGTGCAGTTAGAGCAGTCCCCTACTTTGCTCGCCCCAAATTCTCATTGCCAATCAAGCTCATCGTCCAGAAGTTGCCCAGAGGTCCGCACAGATTTTAGCTTCGTATTTCGACCAACACAATGCATACAACACATAATGAATGTTCTACACCGTGTGAAGCTAGAATTGGGTGCGGGCCTGCATATCATTCCCGGCGTCGGCGTGGAACCACAAGAACAGCGGAAAGTAATCGCTAGCGCGTCGCTGCTTACTTTTCGCAAGCAGATTTCTGGCCTTGCTAGAGGGCAAACTTGCGGAGAAATCGGAAATGCTCAGAAACTGGGCAACTAAAGTCATCATGTGACAGGTGCCACACTAGGCGCAGTGTGTCAAACATCTGCCCATTTCACACAATTTCGTTCCTCTTTCAGGCGTTGCAAAGCTCCCCTTAGCGTGCATCAGTGATGCACCTGCGTTCAATGCGCCCAGATCATCCGATCGCAGCCACGGATACAGACATTTTCGCGCCAGCAGCACCGACGTACGCTGTTGTGTTCCCTGCACTGAGTCTGCCTTCGTGTGGCGCGTTTGAGCCAGGTCCAATTTTCCCTGTTGGATCGCCGACCCCTGAACGGCATGATCCAGCTGTGCCGGGAGCGCGGCATTAAGCTGCTGACGTACGGCTCGCTGGGGGGCGGCCTCCTGTCAGACAGGTACACCGAGGAGCCGAAGAAGGGGTTGCTGGGGAATCCAAGGTACAGCAACATCGATCTGAACACGAGCAGCCTCAAGATGTACTGGCGGGTGGCGGATACTTATGGCGGCCAGGATTGGTACCGCCGGCTGCTGCTGGCGCTGAGAGGCGTCGCCGACAAGCACAATGTCAGCGTCGCAAACGTGGCGCTCAAATGGGTCATGGAAGGCGGCCAGCGAAAGGGCAGCGGCGTGGTGCATCCCATTGTTGGGCTTAGGAACACGTCCCATATATTGGACAACGCACGGGTTTTTGGGCTGGTGCTGGACCAGGAGGACTTTGACGCCATCAATGGGGTCCTGAAAGAGGCTGCAGGACCACCGGGCGACATTTACTCCTTTGAGAGGGGCTACGTGTGAGGATGTCCGGTGCTATGTGGATTGATTGCATTGTGTGTAATGTTGGTTGCGGTTCACTGTGCGTGGTGTCATGCACATGGCGCAATCAGGGTGCTTTTGGATTCCTAGACGCCAAAATTGGATAACAATTTACTACATTATGGGATGCGGAATCGGAGCGCGTGCCTGTGTGCGTGTGTACCCTCGAAGGTTTGCTGCATCCCCGCCTTCCTCTCATGGGGCACAGTGCGGCATCCAATGCGAACATTTCTGCAGCAATCACACCAGCGATCCATAATAAGGCCTGTATCACAAGACGACCATATGACCCTTCCTTTACCTTTGGGGGGGACCTCAACCTCCCATTGTGTGAACAAGAGTGCCTCAGAGATTATTCCCCACTGGCACTATTGTGCCCAAGGACAACACCAGCTTTTCTGCGATGTCGCCAAAGCGTGAATGGTTGCCATCACAATAAGTAAGCGTCTGCGCGATGGTAGCTATCTGTCGCAACGGCACCTCAGTTGCAACCCAGAGCTTCGCGTCCGCTCCCGTGTCACATGCCGCTTAGCACCGTCGCTGCGTACTGGCAGGCTCAACGGCCAGGATGCACGCTGCTGGCTGTCCCGTCCCTCAAACCCCGGCCAGCATCAAGGCTGCCCCTACTTCCTCCCTTGCGCTTTTAGGATGTCGAAAGGGTTTCCGTTTGGGCAATCTTCCTCCAGAATGACAGGAGCTCCACATATGTCGCCATACAAGAACTTCGCGAATGGGACGGTGACCATCGGATCAAACAGGAGCAGATTTCGGATGGCCCGAATGGTCTCTGGGTCGCAGCCGCACAGGTTTGTTTGGAACGTGAATGCTGAGTGGCAGCAGCCGCGAGAGGGTGGCAGCGGCATTTGGGACAGAAACTCAACGGTCAAGTCGTCCGCCGTGAGTCCAGGCTCAAAGACGGGCCAGCCAAATTCCTGTTAGAGAAGAAGAGGAAAGGGCATTTGTCAGGCACACCCGGCCAGGCATTATGAGGAAATTGTTATTATTAGCGCAGGTGTTATGAGGAAATTACTGTTAGATGACGTGAAGGAATGACTATAAGCGCGGACTGGAATTGTTGAATGAGTTCGGGTTTGTGCCTGGGTTGGCCTCCCAGACTAGACATGGCCGGTTTGACGACAAAGCAACGGCATCTATTGCAAGGGCATGTCCCGCTGGTCACATCTCGACCAGCCAAAATACGTGTTTTCGAATGCATATCAACGTGACCAATGGAACTATGCACAAGTCCCTGGAAGCGTGCAGGAAATTGTCATGCTACTGCATCATACCGCTGTGGTATATCATACAATCGTACTGCAGTACGTACAGGAAATTGGGCAATGAGATCCAGCATCCTTACCCTAAGCACAAAGCTGAACTGATCCCAGCATCTGGAGCACATGATGCACACAACGGTCAGTTCAAATGCGCAAGTCATTTCTGTTAGGTTGGTCAAACTCCATTGTGGAACGTTAAATGTTGCAGCATTGCGAGCAAAATGGTGAATCCCAATAGTGTTGTTGGTTAGGTTGTTGTCCTTTGGGAGTCTACCCCCGCATACAGCGCAATATCTTAGTCATTATCCTGTGATATTTCTCACACGACAAACTACATCTAGGTGCCTAACAGCTGTGGTGAATATATCTTCGCCTTGCCATTGCATGGGTGGTGGCATAGCCTCACAGCTCGAGAATGTTCGGACCGTGACCAGCGAAGTCTTGCTGAGGAATTCTCCACAAGACATGGTGTCGTCATGATGCCATGGTGCACATGATCATGTGTACCATGGTGCGCCCACACGAATCACAGTGAATAGGAATGGCAAATTGACAAAACCTCTCGAGCATAGGCGATCCCAATGATCAGGGGGCATACCCTCCTGTCCTTTCGTTCTTACTTGGTAAATATGCCCAAGGCGCTTGCGGAGCACACCGGACGTAGGGTCACGTATTGCTTCAAGCCGGTGAAGAATCCAGTGTTGAATTCGATAGGACCCCTGGAGAGTATCTCGTCCTTGTCAGTGGCACCCTCGCCTTTCGCAAGGGCCTTTGCCTGCGCAAAAACAACGAACAACTAGCATCGTCACACTTTTGCCAATAATGCAGTACAGCTGGCGCAGCGCACATTGCTGCACCTGTAGAGGCGCTGCTTGGAGGAAAGGGGCCAACCAACAGATGTTCCAGCACGTCGGTTTCGTCAAAAATGCCTTGAGGGCGTGTTCAAAGCGTGTGCGACTGTGTTCCCGGGCACCTGCATGATACCTTCTGCGCTTGCTGCAAGGATGCCCTTGCAAAATAAAGAGTACGTGAAACTGTGTTCAAATTTTGCGATTACGTGTTCAGTTTCGTGTTCCTGAAGCGTGTCGCTTGATGAAACGCATTGGCTGTTGGCGCTGCCCTGGCAAACAATCCAGCCAGAATGTGTTTCTGGGTGCCATTATATGTGAGCTGGGACACGCGTTCCGGCTCGCCGCTGACACCCAACAATGGTTGACAAACCAGCTATTTGATCCTGTTGAGGACTTTGCAGTATGTGGCAAATGAATCGGCCTATTCCCCACATACTGAACCAGCCGAGTACTTCAATTTCAACGCTTTCTCAATGGGGTGTGAGCAGTTGGTGTCGGAAGCCTCCACGCCGATGCGCAAAATGTTGTATTCAGTTGGCGTGACTGGATGCACGCACTGTGCACATCTCCGTAGAGAAGACGTTCGCTCGGTGCGAACCATGCTTTTGGAGATCATCCTGCTATGGAGGTGCTCGCGGCACCCAAGGACATGTTGTTGGGGCGATGCATCATCCAACAAATTAATGACGTAACGACGTCGGATTCTAAGCAAAGAAGTCCCACAGGAGGTGGAACAGCGGTGTGGAGCAGGCGGCACTCCAAACCGACAGGAATTTTGGCACTGATGCGCACCGCCAACGATGTGGGATTTGCCATTCCCGACCATATTCTCTTCTCTGACGAATTCGCTGCCCAACTAACGCGCTTCCGTTATGCTCCCCGTGAATGGTTCACTGGGATTATCCCACTCTTTCCAAGGCTCTTAACTGGGTTGCGCGCTCCAATGAGGATGCGGTACCAATTGCCGTCAAAGCGGAACACGGAGGCGAAGCGAGACCGGCGGTTGTGCGCGGCATCTTCACGGCCTTCGATTCGCCCCTGAGTGCTCGCCGCAGGCTGGCCCCCAGCTCCAATCACGTGCCGAATGCATGGCGCCGGCACAGATTTGCATTCCCATTGCAGGCGCATGTCTGCGCCATGTGCGCCATCCGCGGCCCAAGCGGCCTGCGCGATTGTGCCAGCAGGATGCACAGCGGAGCCCCAATCGCAACGGGCTGCCCCTCGCGACAAATTTGTCCTTTAAAGGAGCACGTGCGTTGCCCTCTGCACCCGGGCGCGACTGGATTGGGGCCCCAAGCCAGTTGCGCAACGGCGTTCTCCTGCGCGGCGCCGTGCCCACCTGGTGAAACCTCTGTCCCGCCTCAACGATCGCGTCGCCTCGCTGCGCCAGGACGGCCAGGGCCACCACGGCCAGAAGCGCCCAAGTTGGGCGCAACGGGGGCGTGCCGAACATAGCTACGGCCGTGGCAGTGGCCGCCGAGGGAGCAGAGGCGACGTGGGAACTATGTGGCACCGAGGCACCTTTCCGCTGCAGCCGCAGTGAATGAACGTGTCTTTACATGCGGGCTGACGACACTCTCGGTGCCTGAGCGCACGGATCGATGTTGACAGTGAACTGGGTGGGGCCGACGCATCCCCATCATATGAAGAGGACACATGAACGAGACCCGCAGGCCCCCCTCGGCGGTTGTGGCGGTAGGTTGGGCGAAATGCTCGAAAGGTGTCGTGAACTCCAAGAAAACAGGAACGCGTGTGCGCTGCGAAGGCGGTGCTGTATTTCGGACTTCTGGTGCGGACGTTTCCGCAATCGTATGCCATGGACGCTGACTGGCTGTCTCCGTGCATAAGGCGCGAATGCCTGCGCCGATGACACACGATGCCCACATGATTTTGTCAAGTCGGGCATGGTTCGCTGGCGGCACTGTTGGCAAGCTCAACGTCAAGACGTAGAGTGCCGCTTGAACTTGAACGTTGAACTTGTCAACAGAGTGTTGAGCCTCTGCACAGCAAGACGTTTTTTTAGTTGGCAGATACGTCCGTGTCTCCAAAATGGCCGTGGTGCATTCCGCGTGTGCTTTTTGAAAGCGCGGCGCTGTGTTTTGGGCCCGCCTACAAGCTTCGGCGATTCGCTGACGGCACTTCAAACCAAAGGGGCCTTGATCCCTGTCAATCGACGAGGCCATCCTAGCCAATGGAATCGCTTCGCTGACGCTCTTGTCTACTGGGATCGACCCCAGCGGACAGCGCGGCCCGAGCGTGAGTAAAAGCCATTATATCGGCGGCGGCGGGCCCGCTGGCCCGGGCCAGCAGGCGAGTTTCATGAATCTTGGTAGATTGATGCCAGCTGCAAGTTCAACGCAGAAAAGATGTGTTCTCAGACAAGTATTCTGGATAAGCTGAAAAAGGGGTGGAGTGGAATAGGGTGGGGGGTGGGGGGTCTTCTTTGATTCTGCTGATCTCAATAAAGCAACGTGGACTTCTCGCCACAGGTGTGAGCACGCTCAGGCATCGTGCATCAGCGCATCGGCAGAGATGCACAGCCCAACTGTGCTCCTCGGTTGACGGCTGGGACCAACGGTACGCTTCATTATACGGCGGACTGTCAATGCGCGCCACATGGCCCATCATGCCCCTTTGATAGCTACATCCGCTGCGTTAAAATTTCATCCATGTGTGCAGATCCGTTATTCGATGCTTCCATGGATAAGGCTGAAATCGACGTGTTCCATCCCCAGGAGCTTTATCACAATATCACATGCAGGTATTTTCCTCCACACGGAGGCGCTGCCAACGTCAAATCGTTGCGATACCCACGCACTTGTCGCGCCCACTTCCAAGACGACAAAGGGCCGAATGCGGCAAAGCAATGCGCAGCACTCGCAACTGCCCCGTCCATAGCTATGCAGATTTCCTCCAATCCGCCAATCCCAGCAGTCAGCCAGCCATGTTGCTGACGCACCGGCGTCCCGGAACGCACATCACGAGCAGTGGCCTCACGATCGGGCGACGCCTCCAAATTCCCACGGTCTCCGCTTTGCTTTCAGGAGCCGTCGACAACGGCTTGGCTTCTGAGGATTTCGAAAGGGTTCCCGTTAGGGCACCTGCTCCCAAGCGTGACTGGAGCGCCGCACTGTTCACCGTACAGCCAATCTGCGAAAGGCTCCGTGACCTCTGGATCGAACCCAGCTACGTCCCGGAATCCTCGGATCACCTCCGGATCACAGCCGCACAGATGCGTCTGGAAGTCGAATGCGCCCTTGCAGCATCTCTCGGTGGGCGGGACTGGAAACTCGGAGAGGTATTCAGGGGTGAAGAGCTCCGGATAGACTCGTGGGTAGAACAGTGGAGCACCTCGAGTCTGCAATTGGGAAGAGCAGCAGTTTCAGGGCCAGCGAGCGTGTGGTGTGTCGCCGCCCAAGCAAAGCGCAGGTAACCGGGAACCTCTGCAAGTCCAGTTAGCCAGACATTTTATTCACGGCTCAAACACTGCCCATTTACTTGTTGACAGGAAAAAGTTGTTCTCACCCTTTTTCCGGGAAAAAAAAAACAAAAACAAGTAAATGTGGGCTCTGTGTATGTACAGTCAGTACAAACAGACTCAGCGAGTCCAGGAAGTGGCAAGGAAGTCGTTCCCCTTGTCGAAGGCGAGGTGAATGCTGTGCTGCCGGTGTTCGAGAGCGTGGCCGGCAGATCATTCCTTGCGACTTCATCATGTACCCGGCGTGTGTCGATGCGTCGAAAATTGACGGCCATAAAGGCCATATTTACGCATTTTTAAACATGTAGAAATATGGCCGTTAAGATGGGCGTTTTTCTGTTGACGCGTTTTATGCGTACAACTGGTGCACCAAACGTAAACAACAAGCCTGCAGTGAGCTGACAGCGGTTTCAAAGGGAAGCTTGCCGTGAGGGACATATTTCCAGCAGTCTCTGCTGCCGTTCAATGTCCTCAGCATATACTCCAACTGACATTCTCGAAAATCATTTCTGGGCTCCACAGGTGGGCGGCTTCCACACATTCCCTTTCCTAAACATGCGAGTGACCTTCCCAATCTTTTGTCCTTCCTAACTGGATAACCAACAATTGCGAGAAGGTAAAACATCTTTTGGTGTGGTATCCGCCTTGGTCCCAAGGCTCGGTGCAAGAATTTGTTTTTTTTTCATGCAAGCGGAATACGCACAATTTCATAAAGTCTCCACGAGGGCAGGGACCGCAGGAAAATCAACCAAGAAACGGAATTTGATGCGCAGGCCCCACCTGTAGCAAGTACAGCGTTTGGTCAGCGCATCCGACATACACATCAGCCAGCGCTGATTTGCACTCGTCCCTTATACCCAACAGGGTGAATATTCCAGTTCCGATTCCGAGAACAATCCCTGTTGGGCTCCTGCCCAAGAGCTCGTCCTCCGAGACAGGACCAACGGTGCGTGCAGTGACGACATCCTGCAAAATTCCAAAATCGATCTCAGCTCAAGTGCGGGGCAGTTCACACACAAGCAGGACAAGTTGTTCCGCTCTGCAATATTGTGCCAAAAGGACGCCCAAGCACTGTACATAATTTCCAACCGTAATGTTGTAAACTATCGAAACATGCATGTGCACCGTATTGTGGCTGTCACAGTCACCAATCACGCGTTGCGAACGAGCGGCAGCACCTCTTTCTGCGTTTGCTATCCGCTCCCGGAACTGCTGAACGTATGCGGCAAATTCCAACATCCAGATTGCTTCGCCTAAAATCACAAGCGTAGAATCCGAAATCCCAAGTGGGAAGCCATTCCTGTGCAATCTGCTGCAGGTCTCCACAGGTGTTCGCGGTAGCAGGGAAATCGCAATCGATGCATGGCTATACACAAGTGGTTCGATGCATACAAGCAAGAACATGGTGTCTAGACTGCTGCACTCCATAGCTTGCCATTCTGCACGTAGCTCGGGATGGGGGCGCCAACTCTTTTCTTCAATTTCCGACGGCTTGCACGTCAGAAGATAGTACCATGAGGCTGGTGCCCATAGCATGTTGTGTCAAATACGCTGCGCACCATCACGGACTGGCTGCCCTCCAGGGAATGAAGAGGCTTTGATTTCGCTGGGGCGGGCGGGGCCCACAGCCCACTTCAGCTCCCCAGCACCAAACGGCATCGCACATTCGATGGGACGATGTGCATGGGAGAACCACGATTCGGTGTTTCAGCCATGGCCGCGTCGCTCCATCATAATGAAGGGGCGGCCGCGCCCCCACGTCCTGCCCTAAGCGCGGAGCGGTCTGCCCTGGCCATTCGCGAAAGAGCACAAGCTGGGTGGCGGGCGCGGACACAGCGGCAACTCGGGCAGCTCCGTTGCTGGCAAGACGGAGTTGGAGGGTGTCGAACGAGGGACGCACCTCGCGGATGTTTTGCAGGCGCGAGAACAGCGCTTCGGCTTGGGGAGGGCCGGCGGCTACGCACAGGAGGGCCGCGACGGCGATCGCTCTCACTCGGGCGGCCGCCGGGCAGCGCATGGCACCATGCGCCATAGGCCAGCGCAGGCCCTCGGCTATTTGGGGGCCGCTGCCCTATCTACCGGCCTGAGCCTGCCTCACACTGCTGGGCCCGCAGAGCGGGGTGCTTTGAGAATCGTAAGGCTGGGGAAAGGCGGTGCTCACTTGATCGACTCAATGTACACGGTGCAGTACATGACCGGTGTCACATCGGTATAGACAGACGCCTCTCGTAGCGGCAGGCATGCCCAGTGTCCTAACAACAGTTCCGGGCGAACCTCTCCATGCTGGTTGCCTCCTGATGGATCACCAGCACTTGTTCTGCTGGCAGTGGCTTCGTTGCACCAGCCCGGTTGCTCAGCGCTTGCACGCTTGTATGCTTGTTCTGCACAGCGAGCCGCAGTGCTGGTGTGGGAGGGTGGAAGGGCAGCTGAGGTGAGAGCAGTGTCCTGTGCAGGAATGGGGATCACAAAGGCGTTCGATAGTGCCGTCTACTTTGCCCCCAGTGCGGAATGCAGCGGCAGCTGAGCAAACTCCTCCTGCGCCAGGCATCCTCATACGCGTTGCCACGGCTTTTCTGGGATGCCCAGTTGTCGCACGCGACAAATGGAGTTGCCGTGTGGGAGATAAGTGGCTCCATGCGCCGTGCCTCCATGAGGATGCAATCTCAGCGGAACAAACAGCCAGAGGACCACGGGTGACTCGATTTCCTCGATTTTTGTAGTGTTCCAGCGGGGCTTGCCTCTTGCGTTTAGCCCCTCTTGGTGCATACAACTAGTGGCAAGTATGCAATGCCAGCGATTCCGCATGCTCTGCAGGCAGCACGCCGCAGCTGGGTGGCCACACATACCACGCCCACCGAGGGCAAGGATGTTGTTGAACGTTTCAACCTGTGGTGCGTCGTGGAGGTCTCCATCATGCAGCCGTGCAGGCCCACGTTGATGCAGCGGGAACGATCGATATGGCAGAATGCAGCGCCAGAACAATTTCTCAACAAATGGAAACATACAGTTTTGGACAGTCGCAGACAGGCATCGATCCACGAAGGTCACTAAGGATCCTGTTCAGAGGGATGAAGCAGGGGTGCGACAAGCTCGTTGGATTGTCTTGCTACTACATCACACAGCCTGTCACAGTTATCCCAGCCTTGAAGCAAGGCGATCTGCATACCGCATTGGTACAAAGTTTGTCCGACGAGGTTGTACTGGGAAGTACGGCGAAGGGCTACTACTGGTGCCGCCCACCACAAGCAGCATAGGGACTTGCAAGCCTGTTGTATCAATGGCAGCTGCATAGCGGCATGGCTGCGCCTTGTAGCATCCAGGAAAGAGAAACACATGGTGCAACCCTCTGTCGCTTTTCCGCAACATGACGCATATGCAGAAACAACACACACGTTCTCTCAACCAATTTCTTGAAAATGTGATATGGCCCAGTACAGAGTGACCCATGCACCCATCACCACGTTCAACGGCCATGGACTGCTGTCAATGTTTGGGCGACAGTTCCTACCTCCACCGCGTCCCTCACAGTGGTTATGTCCACAACTTATGCAGCTTTGTCTTCAAAAGCAAAAGGTGCTCCACTCCGAGCACTGATCACCGACATCCTTGGGTGATAGAAACCTCTCGTACATTTCTCTTTCCTTTCAACACCGCTGACAAAACTAGATGCATCATGCATTGGCACGCCAGGCAACCCACAAAACTGCGTGTCTGCGAGACCCTATCAGTATCACGGGCTTAATGCCGTCTCAGTATTCAGTCGTCCCATCCCCTTCGGTGATAATTTCCTTGAAGGACGCTCCCCCGGGAATCATGGGCAGCACGTGCTCGATGTGAGGAACCATCACGTCCAAAACGTAAGGACCTGGCGTGTCCAGCATCTTCCGAATTGCAGGCCTGAGCTCCTCTGGGCGTATGACACGTTGGGAAGGCACGCCAAACGAATCAGCCATCTTTACAAAGTCAGGATATATGTCTTCCAGCTCACCCGTCTCATGGTACGCAGCATCCTTCTTGCCGAGGTATGTGTGTGCACGATTGGCCTGCTCAAGCACCGTAACAAGCTGTTCAGTCAAGACACACCAATCTTCAACTGCAGTAGCGCGTTGTATCGCAGCGGAAATGCGGACACGCCTTTCACCACAAAATGAGCATTGGTTCACTGCAAGGCAAGGGTAGGAGACACAGGCTCTTTTCGTACACAACTCGCCAATGAAATTTCAACGGCTCGAAACTTAATTGTAGTGACCAAGACCACTATAATGGGCTCCGTCTGCCATCCTTCAGCTACAAGCGTGTCCAAGCCTGTGTGCAAACCAATTGTCAGAAGGGCAGCAGGTGCAGCCTAGTCAAATCATGCCCTACTTCCAATTCTTGACCCTGACCACGAAGGCGACAGCAATTGGAGCATGCACGCAAGCGAAATTCATGTGGTAAGAACAGACCAGAAATGCCCTGCTCACATGAAGACCGGACCATTGTCAATCCACACACATAGGTTGGCAAGTCAGGAAGGAAAAACTCAGACAGGGGCCATTACAGTCGCTGATGATAACATTGTAATGCACAAAGGATGGTAGGCAAGGTGCTATTAACTTTCTGAACAGGTTCTGCTGAGCACTGGCAGCAAGCCACTGCAAACGCAAGAGTGGGCAAGCGTCTCCACCGAAATGATGATGGGCCTCACTAAACGGCCTGGCCACAAATTTAGCAATAAAGCCTCCAACAAGGTCCCCAAGTGCATTTATACGTGAGCAGGCAAGCGCCACCATTAAAACTGATGATACGGGCCACCATGAGCGGTCTGGTCACAAAACACAGCAATAAAGCCTCCAACAAGGTCCGCGAGACCATTTTGCTGAGAGCACAGCTCCTGACAAGACTTTGTTCCATTTGGGCTCATCAGCGTTTCTCTTCAGCAACAGTTCGTTCCCTGGGCGTGAATGCCATCCACCTGGGAGCCTCACCTTATAAAAGCGGTCTTCCCACTGCACCACCATGCCCAGATGCTGATTGTTGAGAATGAAAACTTTCACATCCAAATTCTCCACAAAGACAGTCGCAAGCTCCTGCACGTTCATCAGAAATGAACCATCTCCATCGATGTCAACAACCACTTTCTTAGGTCGACCATCCTTGCCATCGAAAGGGCAGGCTGCCCCCAGAGCAGACGGCAAGCCAAAGCCCATCGACCCCAGGCCGCCAGAGGTGACGAATCGTCGTGGCTCTTCGAATGGGTACCACTGTGCTGCCCACATCTGGTGCTGGCCAACACCAGTTGTGACTATTGCGTCTCCTTTTGTCTCTTCGTGGAGGACCTGCAGAGTGGAGTGTGAGCAAATATCAAACCGAAACTGACAGGCACAATAGATGCCTCAACAGCTTTCCCAGGCAATGTTGTCACAAGCGAATGCTGCCAAGGTGAGAAGACAATGGGAGACACCAGTCTGATCAACCAACCAGAGGCAACCTGCTTTTGCCAAAAGGCAAAAGCAAACATCCAGACAGTTCTGTTGTATTGGATGGAATCTTTTGCCGCACAACAAACAACTGGAATCTGCTGCATGGCAACAGTTTTGGTGACAAATGTCATTGGTGGCTCACAGCCTGACCCACACCAAGGTCCTACCTTGATAGCCCATTGGGGAATGATAACATCATCTCTGTCAGGATGTGACAACGGGAACTCTTCTCTTTTGGCTTCAACCTCTGCTCTCCACTGGCTGAATCTGTCTGGGTTCACTGGATCTGAGTCTAGCATCAAGTTCAACATCTTAAGGGTCTCGCCGGCATCTGCACACACTGGAATATGTGCAGACTTGTTCTTGTGGATTTCGGCTGGGTCAATATCCACGTGCACGATGCGAGCATGGGAAGCAAATGCCTCCAGCTTGCCAGTGACACGGTCATCAAAACGAACACCAAAAGCCTGCACACCAAAGCCAAGTGGAAGTCAAGCGAAAAGCTGCAATGTGTACATGGAAGCCTGGATGTTGTCTGCCCACAACAACATCGAGCACAATGCTGACAACAAAGACATTACAAAAATCAAAACCAGACCCTATTCTGAACATATCAGTGACTGAATAATGCCATTCCGCATAAAGTCAGCAAGGCTCTTCTCACCAGCAGGAGGTCAGCTTGGTCAACTGCATAGTTTGCATAAACAGTGCCATGCATCCCAAGCATCCTCAGGGACAAAGTGTCAGTCTCAGGAAACGCCCCAAGGCCCATCAGGGTCTGTGCCACAGGTATCCCAGCCCTTTGAGCAAGGCGCTTCAGCTCTGCGGAGCAATCAAGTGTTCCTCCACCACAGTATATCACTGGCTTCTTGGCTTCATGGATAGCTCTCAATATCTTCTTGACATCAATGGGCTTGGGTGGTTGTGGTAGGCGCCTCATGTAGCCTGTGAGGGACATTGGCACATCCCAGTCTGGGACAGCCAATGACTGCTGTACATCTTTGGGGATGTCAATGAGGACAGGGCCAGGTCGGCCTGTCCTAGCCAAGTAGAAGGCCTCCTTGACGATCCGTGGTATGTCGTTGACGTCCATGACCAGATAATTGTGCTTTGTGATCTGCCGGGACACCTCCACTATGGGTGTCTCCTGAAATGCATCCGACCCAATGAACCGTCGGGGCACCTGTGGGCCAAGCAATTGTGTCTTCTGAGGACTTGTTGCTTTTGGATGCTGCTGGCAACATGCAAGTCAAGTCCATGTGAAGAAGTCCATGCGGAGAGTGTTCACCTCAGCTCCACCCATGGACAGCAGGTTGTGTGCGCCAACAACAGTTCATGCATGATAGAGGACACCGTGTGACCTAAAGCACAGCCTGGACTATCACAAAAGTCAGAAAAAGCCTGGATTAACAGAAAATGCACAATCCACAGCAAAACACGTGCTACACAGAATTTACGATCACACACATCTGCACCAACGCATTTCCTTGTGGCCTGAAACAGCCCATCCCTACTGCAACAGCCAATGTGAACTCACAACCACACGTATTTGGCCCACAAATATGCGTGCTGACTCAGCAGGTGCTGCAGCAACATCGTGTGTTACCTGCCCTGTAATGGCAACTACCGGCATGCTATCAAGGAGGGCATCTGCAAGTCCTGTGGCCAGGTTGGTAGCTCCAGGCCCAGATGTTGCTATGCAGACACCTACAGTGCCTGTAACCTTTGCATATCCCTCAGCAGCAAAAATCTCCCCCTGCATTGGCCACAAACTCCATTAGGCAGGCGCTCCATAGATTTTTCGTCAACAAGGAAATGTGCCGAACAATGGCCCCCCCTTCTCCTGAGCAGGAATGCTGTAAGACGTTCTTCCATGCTAGAAAATCAATGCAGAAGTCTCATATTGCATAACGAACCATTGCAGAGCAGCAAGTACAACAGTTGCACATGCCCTCCAACAGAAGCTTCAGAACCAACAAGTCACTGAGTCACAAAGTCACTGAACCTGTTTGCACAATTGATACCTCACCCATCGAAGCAACAACTGGTCCCAACAACAAAATCAGCTTGAACCAGCCAGAGTCCATGCAACTCTCCAATGCAGTCCAACGATTTCAATCCATCTGCTGGGCAAGTATGCAACACGGCCCCAGTTCACTGACCTCGCCTAGTGAAGCTGCAAAACTTTGGGCTTGCATACCTGTTCATGCCTGCAGAGAATGTTCCTCATACTCCCAGATCGAGTCAAGGCCTGGTGGATCTCCATGGATGCACCACCAGGGTAAGCAAACACAGTGCTCACACCCTCTCGCTCCAGTGCCTGAACAAGAATGTCGCATCCTTTGCGGGGCGCATTCCCAAAGCGATCAACCCAATCCTGCACATCTGGAGCCACACACCAACAGAATCAACAGAAGTACGCCACAAACTTTGTGAGGTCATGGCCAAGGCGATCAGCCCAACCCTGCACATACACCAACAACATACACAACGCGGCTTCGTGGCCAACGGAATACGGAGACACAGGGAAGGCAGTCATCCCAAGAGAGTAGAAGACAATGCTGTGTCAGATGCTTTGCAGCACAATTTCAACAATAATACAACAACTTGTTCTTTAGCGAATTGCAGAGGCGCAACGGAAAATGTAGACCAACCATTCCCATACTGTAGCCCTGGAAGGAGATTACACAGAAACCTTCGTGTATGTACTGCTGCAGTTGCAGAACATGAAACACTTTTGACCCGCCAGAATTGAACATTCCACATCCATTTCAATGCATAGCCATGGAACTTAGCCCCTCACCTCTGGACACTGCAGCCTCAGAAGATCCCCTGGCTTCAGCAGTCTGTGCAAGCACAAACAATCTCAGAACAGCGTCCATTGTCGTCGTTCAGAAAGCAATCTTTACGCCACTGCAGACCCCACCTCCAGATGTCCATTTTCAGCCGCGAAGACGCGAAATGGGTACCTTTCTCTATTCTCTATTGCACGACTTGACCTGATTGAAACGGACGACAATGGGGCGCGATTTTTCCCTTACCCCGCTCCCGCCAACCTCCTGCCGGTCCTCAGCGATCTTCGCAGCAATTCGCACATGCCCGCAACGGCGCCTGTGACAGACAAGCGGCCTCAAAAACGGTACAGATGGCGCCGTGCCCGAGCCGCTCCGCCGCAATCGCAGCTGGACCGACGTCAAACCGCACCTCCGTTGTATGCATCCGCTCCGCCCCATACCCACGCATCTCGAAATGTTGATAGAAGTCTGCCAAAGCACCCCCCAAGGTTAATGCCACCGCCAGAGGCGACAGAGGCGCAAAGATTGGCGCCCAAAACTGCTCTGGGCACCGCAGGCGGCAGCAAACCCACCAGTGGAACTGCCCCTTTCGGGCCCATTATCGCCGTCGGCGGCGGCCCCAGAGAGGCTCCAGGCGGAGGGGCCATTCCGCGGAACGCGTCCCCAGAGCCTCTCCCAAGGCGCGTCAGCCGCGCAGAGGGGTAAGCGCAAAGGACTGCGCAGTCGCCTGACACCCCGCCCAGCCTCGCACTTCGGCACGCAGGTGGCGGTGGTCCGTGCCTGATGTGTCAAACTTCCGATGTCCTCTGCTCTAATAAGGGGCGAGTGTGATGAGAAAGGTCATGCGGGGAGCCGGCCGACATTGCGCGGAACACGGGTGTTGAGACGACGGGCAGGAGCGGGACCCGGGAAACAACGCTCCGGGCCTTGGGACCCGCTTTGGATTGTTGCGGATCTGTGGAGCGGTGGCGGACCTGCCGCGGCCTGTTGGCAGCCTTGCTGGAGCAGCGAACGCGGCAGTGAGCTGTACCGTACCCCGTGCTCGGCGCTGACGACGTAGCCCGGCGACCGTCCAGTGTGGAAGGGGTGCGCAGGATGCAGAGCCCCTTTGGTGCAGTGGGTAAGCAGCATTGGGCCCCTCCTTCCGCCCCCCTCCGCGGTGGCGGAAAGGCGCATCGATGGCAGGCATTGTGGCTGTGGGGGCGCCTGTGGCGTAAACTGACGTCTACGCCACGGGTGCCGCCTCGGCGGCAACGTCTGCGTCGATGCGGTTCTGTGCCAGCGCGTTGAGGGCGAACCTCAAAATGCGGCAAGATGCGCAGGAAATCTGCCGAGCGTGCAGTTGATGTTGTCCATTAAGTCGTTAAATCTGTTCCGAGGTGGTGCACGGATCGGGAACGGCTCCTTGGCGTCGTCCACTGGCAGCTCGCCACGCATCGTTCCCTGTTGCCACAGATCGCTTTGCCGGACAGCCTTCGCGTCACATTGTGGGAGCCCCCAGGGTGGCGAGTGGCGGAACGGCACAGGGTCATCTGTTCGCTGGCGCGCATCGATCTGTTGTTATCGACGCACATCGTTCCTGTGGTGCTGTGGATGCCAAGCGTGGGAGTTGGCGAAACACCACAGGATCGCCTGCCCGCTGGATTGGATGAATTAGTTTTTTGGTTTTCCGCGTGATGTGGTGGTGTGGGGCAGCAGACACATCCTTTTGCTTGGGGGTTGTTGCAATTATTGGAACTGTGGGGGCTGCGGCAGCTTGAAGGACAGTGGGCCTGCATTTGAGCAGGGTCAAAGGAAAGGTTTAATCATGTTGTGAGTTGCTTCATGTCATTGAAGATATGCATCCTTGCAATTTGAGACCTTGGCAGAAGTGACAATCTTGGTTCCTCATTTTTTTGCAGCTTCAATACCTATGACAAACGGCCAGCAGCAGAGTGGGTAAGTGTCAGTTCATTTCTTTGCCAGTATTGTTCCCTAAGCCGCGATGTGCTTGCTTTTATATTGCTTATGTGAAAGGTACTCACTCATTGACAGGAAGAGTCCTGATGGGCAGGTTCTTGCCAGTTGAGCCACAGCGGTGAAGGAAGTGTATGGACCAAACAGGCAACCTGTGATATCTTTCAGGCACCGTGCTGAGGTGTTATGGCTTGACAAGTCTGTCTGACCAGCGGGAAGGACGTTGTGGGTTCACCACTTGTGCAGTGCTATGTCAGGTGCAGAGCACGGTGTTTATGTTTTTTGTGGACTGTGGTAGTGCTGAAGGCCCCAATTACTCTAAACAGCAGCTCATGGACATCTATCAAGGCATGTTAAGGCAATCCAAGGTTCATCCTCCAAACAATGCAGACCTGCCTGCGTTACTGCAGAGATCTGGTTCCAAGGTTGGATGGCACGACCTGCAGGTGGATCAGTGGGTGTATTTTGACCCTATGGTTGGCTGCAAGGGTCCAGTGCAGAAAGCAGAACTCCTGGGTCTTTGGGAAGGGGGTAGGCTGATGGACGAAACAACTGTGGCTCCCATGGGATGGTTCCTTGCAAACGCGACGCCCATGAAGCAGATGCAGAAGATTTGGAAAGAGGACGAGAGGAGGGTACTGGGAAGGCCGGGCAGTGGGGACCCCGGTATGGTGCGCGTTGGCAGCCAAGCAGAGCTGGCCCCGGAATTGCCAAGAAGGGCATCTGGACAGCTAAGGGGGGCCAGCATCCAGGTAGCTCGGAGGATCGGCGATGATGAGATACTTTCTGATCAATGGGTGTACAAGGATATGCAGGGATGTGAGCAGGGCCCCTTCACATGGGCCCAGCTGCAGGATTGGTGGATGCAGAACTTTTTGGACCAAGAGCTGCCTGTCAGGGCGGAATCCTGGGAAGTGGGTCAGTTTGTGCCCATGCGCCGCCTCCTGGCTGCTGTATTTTCCGGCATGGAAGAGTGGGTGTACAAGGACGAGCAGGGTGCCGTGCAGGGGCCATTTGCAAAGGAGCAGATCCTGGCTTGGTGGGAGGACGGATACATGCCGGCCAACCTGCCCACAAGACCTGCAACATGGGAGAAGGACGAGTTCCTGGCGCTGGTCCATTTTCTGGTGAGGTGGAAGGGAATTTCCGATGGTTGGCTTTATAGAGATGCTCACGATGTAACACATGGCCCCTTCCCCAAAACATCCATTCTGGAAAAGGTGGGGAGGGGCGAGCTTTCAGGCTTGTTGCCTGTGAAGCCTGACTTGTGGGAAGGGGACGTCTTTGTGCCGCTGGAGCATTTGTTGCAGGCCCTATAGTGTGGAATGCAGTCAGCACCAAGGCAGGCTGGTGTAGGCAACATGCAGAGAATGCAGCATTTTCGTAGGAGCAGCAGGGAGGTTCTTGCATATAGGGTTGAGTAGCACACCCAAGAATAAGACTCTTTAGGAAGGTTGGTAGATGATTGCGATGTTGCATCAGCACTCCCATTCGCACGAAAAGGCAAATGCAGAACCTTAGATTCTCGTTTGGGTGGGGATTACACCTGTGGGTACAACCTGCTTGTGCCCTTAGATGACCATGGCGTCCTTTGTCTACATGATTTGCCAATTTTTGCTCCTTTGAACAGCGTTCACAAGACTTGGCACACTTGCTGCTGTTTCTGGGCTTTAGGCGCCCATCGCAAGGGCCTTGTGTTGAAGACAGCGTTGATCTGCGATGGGCAGTTGACCATGACCGTCTCCCACTCGGTTGGGCTGCCCACAGATAGCCGCGCAATATGTCGTTGGCTTGATTGAGCTCATGCTGAACGAATCTGTGGGAAAACTGTGGATTTGATTCACGGCCTTCGGAAGAATGCATTCGCATGAATGCGCTTGCTGCGCCACACAGCCATCCCATATTGACTATACTATTCATCATGCCATGTGTGCACCAGCAGCACCGCAGGTCAGAAATGCTGAGATGGGCCATCAGGCGATCGTGGTGGTTATATAGCACTGACACATTGCCGGGTAGCGAAGTGATGGGCGCAAAACGGTTGTTTGTGCTACGACCCTGTGCCCAGGCACTATGAAAAGATAGATTGTGTCGAAGCTGTTCTGCATTCAATGCAGATTTAAAACTCCATTTGTGGCAATAAATCTCGATGCGTCAGGCACCACGCCATGCCACGAACAACAGTGCGATACCAGGGCAAAACATGCAAGCAACACTACGAGGGAATGTTCGGACGGAGGTGGCACGCGGACATTGACGTAATGTTTTGGAATCAAGAAGCAACGTAACAAGGGATGATTGTTGCACGTGTGATTTCCTTACGTTTTATTCCCGCCAGGTTACGTCAATGAGGAACTCACCTCACTTGTGCTCTCCTTCAATGCTTTCGTGCATCGGCAGACACGCTTCACTGTCCACGAGCGTCCTCCGCGTCGAGAATGCAAGCTATATGTCTTGGAAGGCTGACCGTTGCGCAGACCCTTCAATGGCCAATCGTGGGATCCGTGCACACACGATTGCTGATTCCCCCCCAGAGCTGATCATTGAGCTATCAATGTGTTGACTGAATTCTGGCTTGAAGAAGCTGGCTCGACTGATTGGTCATTTTGTTGCAGACACAGAGGACAGAGTTGTTTACTTCAGGTATGATCCTTGACTGTGTGGATGCTCTCAGCAGATGTTTGGTCCTTTCAGCGAACAGGGAATTCGAACAAGTTTCCTATTTCTTGAACAGCTTTCTTGAATCTTGACCCTATGGAAAGGAGAATGGATGCACTGAGTCCTGAGCTTTTTTGGTCATATGTGCTGATTGCCGGTATTCATGAAGTTAACTATCCTGTTAATGGGTTTCTGCCAAGGGCGACGATGGGTGGGCTGCACCGGCGATTCAAACGGTGCAGTTTGAACCTGGGGTTTACTCAACCCCGGCCCTTGGGATTTCTGGCCACCCCTAGTACCGTGGGT